TCCATTTAGCCGAGACCGGTTTGACTCAGTGAATAGAGCCGGCCTGCTAACTGAAAGGTCCCAGGTTCAATTCTGGTCTTGATTTCAGGCACATCCCCAGTAGGGATGTGCAGGAGGCAGCTGATCGATGTTTCTCTCTCATTGATGTTTCTCTCTATTCCTCTCAATTCCTCTCTGTAAAAAGTCAATAAAATATATATTTTTTTAAAAGCTCCATTTATATGTTCTATTACCATAGAAGATAAAGTCAGAAAAATGGCTTCAAGGTCTGGTTTAACTGGCAAATTCTAAACCAAAAGTATCTTCATCTTTTGCTAATCTTGTTATATCTATGCAAACATGAAAAAAAAAGAACTTTTTTCAGAATGAACGGTATATAAAACTGCCTCAAAAATTCGAAGTTACAGCTACTGAATATCATTATACATGCTATTATAAATCTGGACCAATAGTTTCACATACTATCTCCTTGATACCTTGTATTTTATCTCAGTTGTTCCCTAATCCCCACAACAGCACTTACTAAATAGTAGAGGCCCTGGACTGTAAAATTCGTAAAGGCCTAAAACTTAAATTTTCAATTTACTGTATGAATAAATGAATATTTATATATATATTCAATATACAGTGAAGTACTTGCCACGTACAAGTTAAGTAAGGTCAAAGGTGAGACAATTATTGGGTCTAGTAATAATTAATGTCGTTTTTAACATTCGTTTAAAATCTTGCTTGGCGTTGACTTGTATTGACATAACCTTCAAACACGTGGTATCTACAGAACGTGTGAAGTGCAATTAACAAGTTTTGCTTGAAAAAGTTTGTGTTTGGTTTGGTTTTTGTTGCAAAACTAGGGCTAAGAAGATGGCGGATGAAGAGCATATTCGGCACTGCATGCTTTACGAGTTCCAATTAGGAAGAAAAGCAAGTGAGGCTGCAAAAAACATCTGTAGTGCTCTTGGTCAAGATGCAGTTAGCGCCAGAAAATGCCAGCGTTGGTTTGAGAAATTTCGCGAGGGAAATTTTTCGTTAGATGACAAGAGTGGTCGAGGCCGTGTGTCCAATTTTGATCAAGAAGCTCTTTAAGCTCTTTTGGTGCAAAATCCTCAAATTACCCAACAAGAGCTTGCGACAACTTTAAATTGTTCACAAAAAACAATTTCCAATCAATTGCGTGCACTTGGCAAAGTCCAAAAGTTTGGAAAATGGGTTCCTCATGAGTTGACCGACAACAACCGTAATCAAAGAGTCCCAATTTGCAGTTCGCTCCTCTCTCGTCAAAACCGTTTGCCGTTTTTAGAGCAAATTGTTACCGGAGATGAAGAATGGGTGCTGTATGTTAATTTGAAAAGGCGGCCTCAATGGTTGGACAAAAATGAGGCTCCGCAGCCCACGCCAAAACCTGACTTGCATGCGAAAAAAGTGATGTTGTGTGTTTGGTGGAATTTTAAAGGAATTCTTCATTATGAACTTTTACCATCTAACCAAACCATTACAAGTGCAGTGTATAGTGCCCAATTGGAAAGGTTAGCCCAAGCTTTAAGAGAAAAAGAACCCGCGCTGATTAATCGGAAGGGCGTAATTCTTCACCACGATAACGCACGACCGCATACTGCAAGAATCACTGCTGAAAAACTGCCCCAGTTGGAATGGGAAGTTCTCCCTCAACCTGCATATTCTCCTGATATTGCCCCTTCCGATTACCATTTGTTTCATTCTTTGCAAAACTTTCTTCTTGGAAAAAAATTTAATAATGAAGAATGCCTCAAAAATGCATTGACCGAATTTTTGGCATCAAAATCACAAGAATTTTACAACAGAGGGATTAAAATGCTTCCTGAGCGTTGGGCACAAGTAGTAGAAAACAACGGCAACTATATTGTTGATTAAATTTTGTTGTATTGTTTAAATAAATTCGATTTAAAAAAGTATTAGAAAACGACATTAATTATTACTAGACCTAATAAACCTCTGACCATTATTACAAGCTGAATAATGTTGAGGGGAAAAAAGAATACCCACATTATACCAGGCCCTGAATATTTTTTTTCCACAAGCTGAATTACAAGCTGTGTCCAAAAATGTCAAATTGTAAAAAATAAAAAATAAAAAAAATTTTAATTTAAAGGCCCATTTCGCTACTTAGAGCTGAATTCAACTGCAGGACTTAGTACTGGACGCCACCAAGTGGATAAAACACGGAGTTCAGATGAGACGGGGTTCCTGCCCGTACAGTCCAGAAAGAAATGAATCCGAAGAAGGACCATCAGCATCTGGACCAGACTCTTCTGGTCCTGCTTGACATCTGTGCTAGAAGGGCTAAAACGGGCAATGGCTAAACGCTCCATTCATTCCTGACCCACCGGCCTTGAAACTGGGCGCGGAAAACAAAAAAATAAAGACTGAGGATGGAGAAGAGAACGCATGTGCTTAGGGTAGAGCCATTCTCGTGCACTTACGGCTTGCAGGCCGAGTACGCTGCAGGTCAAGTTCCTATGATTCCCCGCAGCAGAGCCGCACCACTCCCACTCGGCTTCTCCGGATCGCCCGGCTTCCCGGTGACGTCTTGTTGGCGTCGCGTCGCAATGACGTCACGCCTCCCCGCCGCGCCCGGCGCTCTCTGTCGCGTGCGCGCACTGCGTCGCTGAGGCCTGCGCGAGGCGCGGCTGGGCACCGCCATTTTGGCCGGAGGCCGTAGGAACACGTTGTGGACCGGAGAAGTGACAGCCATCGCGGGTTCGGCGTGTGCGTTCCCCGCCTCCGCAAGGGGGTCGTTATCTCCGAGTAAGTAAGTAGCCCCGAGGAGTTTGGCCAGGAGACGCCCTCCGCCACGATTTAAAAGACTGAGGAACCTTGGGTTAGGCCTCCGGCGGCGGCGGCGGCGAGCGGGGACTGCGGCGGCGGCGCGTGGCAGCCGGCGAGGGCATGGCGCGTGGGGCTCCCGTCCCAGCTGATCATCTGGCTCTCGGCCGCTGTGGCCCGCCAACCCCGCCTGCGGCGGCGGCGGCGGCGAGGATAGCCCCCGCTAGAGGCCGTCTCAGCGATCCAACCCTCCCCGCTGCCAGCCCCCTGTGCCCCGCTGCTCCCCGAGAGCGGAGCCTTCTGGAGGGGAGGGCGCCTTCAGGATCTACAGCGCCCGCCGTTTCCTCCCCTCTTCTTCCCCGGGCACAGGAGAGTGGGCATATTTCCACACGTGCGTGCTTGGTTTCGGGGAGTCGTAGCCTTGTCTCCCACCGCTGGGTGACTGTGGGATGAGTCAGTGGCCTCTTGCTGCCGTGAAGTGGAGTTATTCCTCGTCCCCTCCTCCCAGTCTTGACAGAAACGATGGCCAGGCAGCCGCTCTGCTTTTCTCATAGAACAGCGTGCACCAGGCTTTCGGTGGGATGGCCCTAGCTAATCTCCCCGTTAAACGCCTTGAGCTTTTTTTTTTTTTTTTTGGTGCGCTTTTACAGCATCGGGCGCTTTTCCCCTTAGTGACTATTCCCTCTGCCCCCTTAGTCAGGGGCAGTGTCTTAACTCCTTGAGATCAGGGGTGGTGTCTTAACTCAAAACGTCTTTATCTTTTTTTTTTTTTTTTTTTTTTTCCTTCCAAGAGGTTCGTACATGGTAGTCACTGCGGGCAAAGCCCCTCCACCTGTGAGTAGGCTAACAGACATTGGCCTATTTTTGCTGTGTATGGTTACGTAGATGACTGCCAAGACAATGTCTTGTTTTTCTGTTATCCTCTTCCACGGGACTGCTAACTAGGCATTGATGACAGGGGCGTTGGTGTTGCAGTCCTCAGTTCGTTAGTCCCTTATCCTGGAGATATCCATTCTGTCCAGCTACCGGATACTAATGCTTTGTCAATATTAACCAAGGTTCTCTTAGCCTGTGTTTGAACCAAAAGGGTTTCTTTTATTTTAGTTAAAAACCTTGTTCTCCCTATTTAAAAAAAAAAAAAAAATCTCTTAGGAAGATCGTTTAATTGTTGTGGGGAAAAGAAAGCAATATTAATTTAGTGTCTCTTCTAAATGTCTTCAATTTAAGACCCTGAAATCAGTTGTGTGCCACTCCCAACTTAGATGTTTTATAAGACTAATAATCCGCAGTAATCATAGGTTAGACTACTTCGTGCGATATTAAGCAACACTTAACAGTGATCTTTAAATGCTTTCACACAGTATTATGCCGAAACCGGTTTGGCTCAGTGGATAGAGCGATAGCCTGTGGACTGAAGGGTCCCAGGTTCGATTCCGATCAAGGGCATGTACCTTGGTTGCAGGTGGTGTGCAAGAGGCAGCTAATGGATGACTCTCATCGATATTTCTAACTCTATCTCTCTCCCTTCCTCTCTGTAAAAAAAAAAAAAAAAAAATCAATAAATATATATTTTTTTTAAAAAAGAGTTATGGTTGGTGAATGAGGTATTTGTAATGGAGACTATGGAGAGATTGCAGTTGGTAAAGGTGATGTCAAGGGTTTGACCAAAAGAATGAGTGGCTGAAGGAGGGTGAAAAACCAGATCATTGGAGGAGAGGGATTTATTAACAATGGGGATAGGCTATTAATAGGTGATTCATCTATGAACATATATTGAACCAAGAATTATGACAGGAGTTGTAAAAGAGGGTGAAAGTTAGCCAAGGTCTGAAATCTTCAAAGCGTGGGGGCAAATGATCTGATGGTCAGTAAATGACAAAATGCAAAAATGAAACTTTTAGTGAGAAGGAAGAGATAATAGCCTGGTAGGAGCATAATTTCTTTTCTTTTTTAATATATTTTATTGATTTTTTACAGAGAGGAGGAGAGAGAGATAGAGAGCTAGAAACATCCATGAGAGAGAAACATCGACCAGCTGCCTCTTGCTCGGATGTGCCCGCAACCAATGTACATGCCCTTGACCGGAATCGAACCTGGGACCTTTCAGTCCGCAGACGGACGCTCTACCACTGAGCCAAACCGGTTTCGGCAGGAGCATAATTTCTTATTCTCCTCCATGTATAATGATATTGAAGTGTGTGAGAAATACTCGAGAGATCTACAAGGAGCCAGTCTGTCAAAAAATAGCGGATTGAGGATCATAGTCATAAAAAACCAACAGAATGTCTGTCAATAAAATAGTCTTGGCCTCAGGTTCTTTCATTACATATTGGAAAACTGGTGTATTAAGGCACTTTTGGGACTTATTTTCTTTAAATCACAAGTCTAAGAAAATTAAGTTCAATTAAAGTCTATCACTAGCCCAGTATTGTAAAAAAAATTTAAGTTTACTTTAACCTTAGCTACATAATCGGTGGCACTGTTAAATATCCAGACTTATAAAAGCTTTGAAAGTGAATACAGTCTATACTTAGTTACTTTGTTTCCTTTTCTTTTCAGTGCTCTTAGTATAAAATTCATCTTGTGCATATTGCAGATTCCCAGATAAATGCAGTTTTTACTTTTTCTACTTTACCAACACAATGGTCAGAATCTTAGAAACTCATTTTCATCAATAGAATCATTATAGTCAGATGGATAGTTTTATTCATGTATTACTACATGAAGTAATGCTTTGTTTGAGAGAGGAAGTAAACATCTTTATCATGAGTATTATCCTATTTCCCCGAAAATAAGACAGTGTCTTATATTAATTTTTGCTCCCAAAGATGCGCTAGGTCTTATTTTCAGGGGATGTCTTATTTTTCCATGAAGAAGAATACGGTACACATTTATTGTTAAATGAAAATAAAGGAAATTTATTACCAGTATTCGGTACTGTAGTTGTCAACACAAACTAGACAAACTGAATCCTACAGTATCAAGAATTTACTCATTTATTTAATGACAATCATGTCATCATCTTCTGGAACATCATCATAACAATCCAATTCCTGAATTTCCTGGTGAATTTCTTGTGACTCCATTTCTTTCAGAATCAGTGGACCAAATCTCTCATGTTTAGCCTAGAGGGGCCTTATTTTCGGGGGCGGGGGGGGGGGGGTGCCTTATAATTCACTCAGAAGGAAACCTGTAAGTAGGCCTTATTTTCAGAGAATGTCTTATTTTCGGGGAAACATGGTAGTTGTCAGGTTTTTTTTATTCTGTATTCATTCATTGGTCTATATTCATATACTGGTAACAGTACTAATTACGCAGGCCTTATATCATGTTTTTCCTTCTGCTCTTTTTTCAGCTTTCCTAGCTGTTACTGTTTTTTTCATAAGAGCTCTAAATTTGGTTTGTTTGGTTAATTTTCTCTCTTCTCCTCTCCCCACTTGAGATTGGATTAAATGTATAAATTCGGGGAAGGTTGAAATCTCTAGTGTTACTATTCTCTATGTAAAATCTCATTCTGTTTGTTGAGTCTTTTATGTTTTTTAATGGTATTTTAAAAGTTGCCTCACATTTGCATGTGTCTTGTTAGGTTGATTTCTAGATCATTTATTTTTTTGTGACAATGAAAGATGGTATTATTTCACTTAATTCCAGATAATCATATCAGAATATAGGGATAATATATGATCTCCTATTTAACTTTTTTCAATTTTAAATTCTTAATTGTTTAAAATATTATATATATGTCTCCTTTTACCCCATTGACCTCTCCCCAGCCACTCCTACCCCCCAGCACAAGCCCTCACCCGCACCCCTCCTGTCTCTGTCCTATGGTTATGCTCATATGCATGCATACAAGTCCTTTGGTTGATCTCTCCTATCTAACTTTTATGCCTGACTTATTTCTCAATTAATTGCATTGATTATGTCATAATTTTGTTAATTTCTCTTTAACAGAAGAGCTGGATATTCCTAGCTAGAATTATGGCAGATAAATTAACAAGAATTGCTATTGTCAACCATGACAAATGTAAACCTAAGAAATGTCGGCAAGAATGCAAAAAGAGTTGCCCTGTGGTTCGAATGGGTAAGCTATTCCATGGATCATTTAAAGATAAGAGTTTTAAAAGGAATAAGTTGGCTTCGTAGTTGTCTAAACTTTTGCCATTAGTTTCTTTGAAATGTAAAGACACCAGATTTTGTTCTGAATTTTTCGTTTTATGACTATATGATTCTGTTTCTTTTAAATTATAGGATAGTGTATTAGTATCAGTATTTTTAAACATTTATTGAATATAAAGTCAAACCAGAGTTTAAGTTACTGATATTCTTACTATTCTATAAAACCCTGTAATTACTTTAAGTCATGGAGAAAGGATTGCCAAAATGTTTGTATTTGATAATATTCTCACTTTAAAGAGCTTAAAAAGAACCCCTGTTCACGCCGAAACCGGTTTGGCTCAGTGGATAGAGCATTGGCCTGAAGACTGAAAGGTCCCAGGTTCGATTCCGGTCAAGGGCATGTACCTTGGTTGCGGGCATATCCCCAGTAGTGGATGTGCACGAGGCAGCTTATCAATGACTGTCTCTCAACGATGTTTCTAACTCTCTATCCCTCTCTCTTCCTCTCTGTAAAAAGTCAATAAAAATATATTTTAAAAGAATCCTGTTCATGAGGTTTTGCTATATTTTCAAGATAAAATAAATTTACAGCAATTCAGAATTGATGAACTGTGTTAAAATAATTGAACTTAGGCTTATTGAATCTTAAAAGACTTTAGATATCATAGATGTTGATTCCTAGATCATAGTCTACCATGCTGTTCAGAAATTCTATTATTAATAGTCTTGTTTATATGCCAAGTTTAATTTTGTCTGTATATTAGATGACTACTTAACTTTTTAGAATTTTTCTGAGCTAGCTAACATTTCATTCCTTTCTCTGGTATACTGGTACATTACCATTTGCAAGGCATATTTTGTGAATTAAATATTTAGGTCAGTCGGCTTAAAAATAAAACTTTTAGGATCTGCCACAATTCTACCAGCATATTTTCTTCCCCTGTACTAAACTAAACAAAATAAATATGTTAGTCATCTCCCTCTTGCCTCATAAACATATTTTTCTTTTGCCAGGAAAACTATGCATTGAGGTTACACCCCAGAGCAAAATAGCTTGGATTTCTGAAACTCTTTGTATTGGTTGTGGTATTTGTATTAAGGTAAGTGATATTTTATTTACCAGGTCAAATTTATAACCTAAAAATGAAATCTGAAAATTCTGAATATATTATAATTGGGTTTTTTTTGTTTGTTTTTTTTAAAATCAATCTTTATTGTTCATATATTTCAAAGGTTCCTCATTTCTTCCCCCCTCCACCAGGTTTATAATTGTTTTAAAGAGGCAAAATATAAAGCATTGAGTAATGAATATAAATTTTGTACTTGTATCAATAATCAAATATTGCTTTGTAATTAGGCCAGATTTTTATTTAAAAGTTATCCTCACCATACTCAATTTTGTAAAGCCATTTCCAACCAAAATTAAATTTTTCCCCCACCTTTTTATGAGAAGAATATTCTTCACCAGAACTTTTTGGGAATATGAATACTAAAAATATGAGTTATATAACATACATTTTTTTTCAAGTCTATATAACTTTAAATTTGCAACTTATACGCATGGGGGAGTTAATCCTCGCTGGAGGATATTTTTCCATTGATTTTTAGAGAGTGGAAGGGGGAGATAAAGGGAAACATCAACATTGGTGTGAGAGAGTCTCATTGATTGGTTGCCTCCTGCACATGCCATGACCAGGACCCTTCAGTCCGAAAGCCAACGCTCTATCCATTGAGCAAACTGGCTAGAGCTAAATTTGCAACTTTTAAATAGAAGGGCATATGGCCGAAATTTTTCAGCTTAACCTTATCTTTTAAGTGCTTTTTTTGCTGTATTTGTACATTCTTCTCTTGTTGAATTTACTCCATAAGTATAATTTTTCAAAATACCCCAAATTAGATTTTGTTGCATTGAAAAGTTTGATTAAGGTTTTGACTTACGAATGATGAATTTCCAACTTAAATTCATGAAAGATATTTAGGAGCCAGTTCAGAAAGTTCTTAATTTAGGTGTTTTTATTTGTATATCGTGTGCATTTTAGAAAGGACCTTTACCAGAGTATGGATACCACCCTGTTACTTATTCTAATAAGCTTATGTGTACTTTGCATTGGCTTCCAGAAATAAAATACCTGAAAACATTTTCCCATATTTTGAAAACATAAGCAGGAAATATTTCTTCCAGCAAATATTTACTAATCTTTTATATACCAATGTTCTCTGGTGCTGGAAATCTGATTTTGAGTAATATATTTTTAATTGTAGAAAGAAAGAACTTTATTTTCTTTTTTTCACTGCTGTAGGAAAATGAGGTTCCAAGATTTGGGGTATGCACTTCAGTGGCTGAAAAGATACTAATGTGATGAGTCTGTTTTGGGAGTGAGGATAGTATATACCTGAAAATTAAGATGCTTATAATGCAGTTCACATATGAACAGTGTGGATTTGTTTTCCCTTGTAGATTTAGAGAAGTTTAAATTACTTTTAGCCTCTAAATATTTTATGTACATTGATGGAATAAAAAGAATTCTATAATATAAATGAAGGTAACTTGATTGGCAGAAAATATCTCATGTAAAGAATTAATAGTTTTGTTTAGACAGTAGTAATTACTTATTTAGAAAACAAAAGTTTTATTTGTTTAATTATCTATGTTTTTTAAACATAAAAATAAAACTCACTGAAATTTTTCTATACGGACTTTGAATTGGTCCCTGAGCTCACTGAACAGTTCTTCTAAACAAATCTCAAATGTGATTATACTCTGGGATGTACCTTTTTCAAGTTTATGTACTTCTAATAAGTTTCTCTAGCCACATTACCACTCTTTTTATATATTGATTTCAGAGAGGAAAGGAGGGGGAGAGAGAGATAGAAACATCAATGATGAGAATCATTGGTCAGCTGCCTCTTACACACTCCACAGTGGGGATTGGGAATGTGCCCTGATGGGGAATCAGACCCTGAACTTCCAGTTCATAGGTTGACATTCAACCACTGAGCCATGCAGGCTGTGGCACATTACCACTCTTAAATGAACCTCTAGTTCTTGCCATTCTTGTTTCATAGACATTTATCTGATTACTAGTCAACTATTATTTGAATAAATTTTTCTGTAAGTCTTTTTTTTTTTTTTTTTCATGTGAATTTACTCAGTTGGAATAAGAAACATCTTTTTTATATGGGATAGTTAAAAATCACAGCAGAAAGACATTAATCCTTGTTCTATCCAAATGTAATGCCAGCTGTTGTTGGGACATAAATAGACCCAAAAGGTACAATCCATGACCTTAAAGGACTTAAGGTAGAAATGGATGCATACAGAGACAGGAAGAAGGAAGTAGAGGGAAGGAATCTGTCATAAGCTGAATATGCAGTTGTATAGTGCTCAATAACCATGTTTCATCTTACCTTTTAGCCTTCTTTTATCTAATGATGTAAATAAATGCACACAGAACTTCCAAGTTCCATGAAGTTTTTCAATAAGTATTAAATGTCTAAGATTATGGCATTCACTAAGTGTAATGCAAAATTAGTTGATACAGTTTTTGCCTTCTAGAAACTTTTAAGTAAATAAAAGGAAATGAAAAATATTGTACATCTTTGTGCAACTCCATGTTCAGAAGATTGCTTATAAAAACTTCTTAATCTTTACATTTTACTTAAGTGTTTACTTCCAAAAATTAACAAAAAATTAATTCTTTAAATAACAGAAATGCCCCTTTGGCGCCTTATCAATTGTTAACTTACCAAGCAACTTGGAAAAAGAAACAACACATCGATATTGTGCCAATGCCTTCAAACTTCACAGGTATATTTTCAAGTCAACATTCCTCTTTACTTCGGTGAAAAGTAAAATGCATTTGGAATTTTCAGAGATATGCAAAACTGGGGGAAAACTATTACCCATGCACTAACGAGAAATACAATATTGTAACATCATGTGGAATCATATTATATATATCAGTTGTTTATTCTGGCCAGCATTAGAGTTACCTGGACTTTTTAAAGCTAATGCCCAGATTTCAGCCCAGTTGAATAACATCCTATCTCTGGATGAAAAGTCTGGACCTCAGTAAGTTGTAAAAGCTCCAAGATGATTCTAATATAACTGGGGTTGAGAATCGCTATTGTTAATAAACCTGTATTCCCAAAAAGACTTTTAAGAAAACTTGTCCTTGATTTTATTTATCTATTAATTTCATGATCAACAGATAATATTACTCTGAACTTGGACATACATTATTAAATTACAGGAGTCCTTTGAGGTGTTTCATCTGCTAAACACTGATATTTTTAATCTGGGAGTCTAGATTTAACTAATAAAAAGGTATTTCTCAACCTGCCAGCTTTAAGGGGCCTCCTGCAGCAGGGAGAATGAAGTGGAATATTTCTGATTGATGTGGCACTTCTCTCCTTGTAAGTAAGTGGCAGGAAAACAACAACAACAAAAACAACAGTGTGAGGTTGCACCTGCTATAATATTTTTTACCAAAGCATTTTTACATTAAAACTGAGCCTTATATGCAAAAAATAATTGTTACTTTAGTACAGACTTTGAATAAATAAAAGTTGGAGTAATATTGCCATAGATGCATATCTAACAACGATTTAAGTTAATCTTAGCTGGGGAGTTTTCTAATAGCCAATAATATTATACCTGGCATATATCTCTTAGCTTAATGGATGTGTGTGGAGTGCAAGTGTTTTAAAGTATATCATTTTGATATTATGTAGCTTTTTCTGAGTTTTATTATTTTTTTATACTTTTGACAGGTTACCTATCCCTCGTCCAGGTGAAGTTTTGGGATTAGTTGGAACTAATGGTATTGGGAAGTCAACCGCTTTAAAAATTTTAGCAGGAAAGCAAAAGCCAAACCTCGGAAAGTATGATGTATGTATTACCACCTTATAAAAAATGGATATCTTGGGTTGGTTTTGTGAGACTGAAAGAGAGTGTTTATGTCATTTTTTGTTTTGCTTTTGTTAATTCTTACCCAAGGATATTTTTCAATTGATTTTTAGAGAGAGTGGAAGGAAGTGGGGAGACAGAGAAAGAGAAACATCTATTTGAGATAGATACATTTAATTGGTTGCCTCCTACATGCACCCGACCAGGACCAGGGATTGAGCCTGCAACTGAGGTATATACCCTTGACCAAAATCAAGTCTGGTACTCTTCAGTCCTCTGACTAACCAATGTTCTATACACTAAGGCAAACCGTCCAGGGCTGTGTCTTTTTTTTTTTCCCCCTCTCAAAATTATTTGTGGAATTAATGCTAAGAAACTATACATAGATGAAACTCCTTCATTTTTTAATTAAAATTTGTTAGTGCTACTTACCTGATTATTCTGAGAGTTGGTATACCTTGATTTGAAATTAAATCCTCAATATTAAGTTAGAAGCCAAAAGTATTCTATTTGGATACATGTTATATTTTGTATAACAGTCATCCTCATTGCAATTGTATTATTAAATTAAATTCAGTTAATTATATGTATATTTCTAGGATCCACCAGATTGGCAAGAAATTTTGACTTACTTCCGTGGATCTGAATTGCAAAATTACTTTACCAAGATTCTAGAAGATGACCTCAAAGCTATTATCAAGCCTCAGTATGTAGACCAGATTCCTAAAGCTGCAAAGGTCAGTTGCTTTTTAGGAGGAATTTATACTTTATAGATATTGATGGAAGTATAAAATATATATCAAATTAAAGCAAAGATTGAAGGGATTTTAACATTGAATTTAATTTTAATATTGGAGAAAAACAGTAATGACTGTTTTTATCAATATTATGACAGGGGACAGTGGGTTCTATTTTGGACCGAAAGGATGAAACAAAGACACAAACAATTGTATGTCAACAGCTTGGTAAGTGTTTATTTTGTGTATGTGTTTGAATAGGCCCTAAACTTAAATTATAAGACAAATGTCTTTATATGGATTATTGAAATACATGGGGAAATCTCTGATAGTTGTCATCTTTACTTTTTATTTCGCACAATTTTCAACTGAAATAGTCAAACTCAGAATGACCTACATTATAAATTTTACTTAGCAGAGGTGAAATAAAACTTAACTTTAAACACAATGCCTCTATGTTCTTTGTAGATTTAACCCATCTAAAAGAACGAAATGTGGAAGATCTTTCAGGAGGAGAGTTGCAGAGATTTGCTTGTGCTGTCGTTTGCATACAGAAAGCTGACATGTAGGTTAATTTACACCTTTTATAGATCTCAATCCTTACTTTAGAGCTTTTATTTGGAATGCTGTAATAAAACAGTGGTTTTGAGAGAAACAATACAAGCAGTATCTAAGATTCTCATTTTGAGGTAAGAAGCTGAAGCAATTGTGCATCCACTGCCCATTCTCCCTGTTCTTCCTGCAGGGGGAGATACTCATTTATTTAGATAAATACTTTACAATTGATGGGGTCCAGAGTTTCTTACTCTGAAGTAAGTTGTTTATTATTTAAACTTTCTTTGTACATAAGAAGAATATTTTTTAAGGCTTAATTAAGCTCTCCTACAAAGCCAGCAAGTTTTTTATAAATACCGCAAGTAGAATAGAAGGTCTTTTAGATAACTCTAAATCAGGATGGCATGGTATGTGAGAGTAAAAAAGGCCAGTTTCCTTCCTACCTTCCAGTGCCTCTCTTCTTCCCAATACTTCCTGCTCCATGTTCCACGTTTTTGCTCTGGCATCCAAAGCAGGCTAGCTCTCTAAAGTAGTCTATAATTCTGTGCACTGCCCTTCACTCCAGAAACTATTTGCTTAATGCAACTGACTTAAGCTATTTAAAAGAAAAGCTTTCCGTATTACTTTGGACTACATCAGAATATTTTTCATAAGCAGGTAACAATTTGTAAGGTAGCCTAATCTGGGAGTGTCTCCTCATGTTCGGCTTTCCTTAATTTCTTTTCTTCTGAAGAAAATACGGAAGTTTTTCTTACAGGGTAGACTCCTCAATAGAATAAGGGATTTTTTGTTGTTGCCAAACATAAACTATATTATAGTACTTTAAAATAACATGCAAGATAGAATTATGTCATACTTCTCTTTCAAATTACATTTGCTTTTCTTTTTCATAGTTTCATGTTTGATGAACCTTCTAGTTACCTAGATGTGAAGCAGCGTTTAAAGGCTGCTATTACTATCCGATCCCTAATAAATCCAGATAGGTAAGTACAGATTTGCCATATGCCTGTGTTATTTTGTTTCGGGAGTTTTACAGATTTCTAAACACTGAACACTGGGGCCCTCAATGTCATATACATGTGCGTTTTCCATGTTGATTATTTGGAGCTACCATTTGAATTTACCTTCCTCTAACTAGAACATAGGTTCTTAATGTAAGATTTATTTACTACTAAGCCTATTTCCAGGGAATTATGAATACTCTGAAATGATTGGCAAATTCTGGTACAAATAAATGGGTTTCTGTGAAGCAGATCCTTAGCTCTTACCAGATCTTCAAATGAATATGTCACTCAGATACACACAAAACTTAGAACATAAGGATCAACAGAATAATTCCAGTTCTTCATGGTGTTACTGAGCACAAGAGAATTCTGAGCCTCTACTAAATAATCATAACACCCTATATATATGGGGTGCTTTTGTAGTTTGCAGAGTTTCTGAATCCATTATCTCATTTGAGCCTCATAGTAATCTTTTAAGTTAGAATATAATATTTCAAATATCAGTGATAAAGAAACAAACTTAGTTGGGCCAAATAGCAGCTATAGTTTTTACCTTGTACATAGGCCTGACTCTTTGGGGAATGCAGGAGTATAAAATATAGTCCCAGTATTCAAGGACTTCACAGCCTGGTAAAATACATAAGCAATCAAATCAAGTTTGAAACCCTAGCCCTTTTTTATAGAATGTATTTATATCCCTTTATTATACTGAAATGAAAGTCTTAGACAATCTACCTTAACACATAATTTTTTTTTTAAATGTCAAGTAATGGCCTAACCATAATGAAAAGATTAGTGATTTATAACCAACTGACATGTATCTCAATTTGTAAATATTCCGCCAAATCACTACAGTTAGAAATTATCAGACTACAGAATCTTCATTGTAAAAGGATAACATTTCAAAGCAAATTATACTGATAAAGTGAAGAAAATGGTTGAGTTAGACATTTGCACATATGTGCCAGGTCTTTGGTATAGGGTTAAAATAATCTCTCTAGTGATAAATTGACAAAAAGTTAAATGAAGTATATCTGTATCCTGAGATTCTACATGTCAAATCACATGTTCAGTCTTCCTGAAGTAATGTTTTTTCATACCATTCTTGTATTCTAAAATTAGGTTGTAGCTTCTAGCCATATTTTGCTATTTTTATTCTAATTGAAATAAAAAATTAATTTCTTTAATCAAACTAGTTACATTCTAAGTGCTGGGCCTTCCATGTAGTTAATTACTACCATATGGGACAACATAGAGATAGAACATTTCCATAATCAGGGAAGTTCTACTGGATAATGCTGTTTAAAAATCTACCATTTCCCCCAATGCCAATTAACATAAGTCCAAATTCTTCATCATTCAACAACTTTATTAAATACCTGTTTGATGCATAACACACAAGTAAAGATCATGAGATTCAGATTGCAGCCTGTCTTTGGAGTCTTTGGGACAAGTAGTAGGGTACTCAGAAAGTGCAAGAATTAGATCAGAGTGACAAAGGTTAAAGAATGAGGGAACAAACAACTATAAGGGTGTTTCTCAGAAGTTAGGATTTGAGACGGTAGAAGGGACTTCCAACAAGTGAGGATTTAGGCAGGAGACGTTTTACAAGCTAGAATACCCCTGAAACACACACAAATTGAAAAGTGAATTGTTTAGTAAATAATGAAAGGTCCATTTTTTCAGTGTGTCCTATATTAAATGAAGTAAAAAATAGTAGCTTCAGTTTTAGAAGGTCTTAAAAGAAAAGTCTAATTATGTCATTTGTTTCTTTGGAAACTGAGAGCCATGTCTGGGGACCTGAAGAGAGTGAGATTTGTCTTTCCCAGCTACATTGGAAATTCTCAGATTCAGGATTCTGTCTGTCATTCTCATGTATCCCCTACCACAGCCAGCATGGGACAAGTAGAAAGGTTGAATGTGTAAGAGGAATAGCATACTAATCAAACAATTAGGGTGCATCTGATTTAAATCTATTCATTGTTCTGCTTTGTAAAGTTTATTTAAAATGTTTATTAGTAAAATACATTTATTATAACATAAACTATTTAATATTAACTTTTTTCTTTTAGTTTAGTATACCAATTTGAAATAGGAATATCGCTAAGTCATATTTAAATAAATATTTTACTTTTGTTTAATATGGTCATTATACTTAATTTTTATTTATACTTAATTTTTAAAAAAAATATCTTTTCCTGAAATTTACACTGTGTTTTAAAAAAGTTACATAGAAGTTGTTATTAAATATAATCTTAATGTTATGTATATATATTGTTACATCTTAAATCTATATTTTCAGATATATCATTGTGGTGGAACATGATCTAAGTGTATTAGATTATCTCTCTGACTTCATCTGCTGTTTATATGGCGTACCAAGTGCATACGGTGTTGTCACTATGCCTTTTAGTGTAAGAGAAGGTAACTTGCAAAAGTATATTCACAATGCTGTATTCTCTGTACTCTAATGCTTAAAAAAATGAACTTTTGTTGGTATTAAGTTGCTGTAATATGATTTATCTAAAACTCTAGTCTCATGGAATTTAATCACATAACAGAATATATGATATATATGGTTATATTCATCAATTATGATACAGAACATCTTTTTGGAGAATTTTTTGTTGGGGTGGATAGAAAGAAATTTGGCAGAATAGTTTTACTATTTATTTGCTTTATTAAAAGTTTCTTGTGTATATTAGCTTCTATAGAAACTTTTTTTTTAATTTATCATCTTCAATTTCATCTGTGACAGGCCAAGACCAATAGTGAAACTCCTAAAATTCATTTAGTGCTCAGCTTGTTTCACATGTATGTTGTCTATCCTAAGTTTATAGAACTAGGGCTGCCTAAAAGTCTAATAAGATAGTTTAGTAAATATATATTACAGTTTAGTAACTGACTATATATAAGCCTAGTAAAATAGCTTGTGAGTATATTTTTATTATATTCCTTCTACTTTCAGGAAAGAGGGACTCTCTGCCTCTCTTTTCCATGCTCCTCCCTACCTAAGCAAGTTAGACAAAAGTAAAAACTAGCCTACCACTCAGTGGCTCCTGAAACAATGTCTGTGCACTCTCCATCTGGTATGCCTTTTCCTTTTCCTTCCTGTTCTATTTCCTTTTGCTGCTTTCTTACTTTTATTTTCTTTTCTATTTCTTCTCTTTGCCTCTGCCTTCAGCTGACAACCTAGAATACCGAAAAGGACTACTTAATCCATATTTTGAAAATAGAGCATAGTCTATAAGTGATAGTTTTTGAGATACCTAAGACACTTTTGGAAAAAGAAATTTGCATTATACATTTTGCATAAAAAGGCAGCGGTGGCTTTTTTTGTTTGATAAAAATATATAAATATTTTTAAGATATATTTTTATTGATTTCAGAGAGAAAGGGAGAGAGAGAGAAATATCAATAATGAGAATCACTGATGAGTTGCTTCCTACACACCCCCCACTGATGACCGAGCCTGCCAACTGCGCATATTCCCTGACCAGAAATCAAACCATGACCTCTTGGTTCATAGGTCAATGCTCAACCACTGAGCCACACCAGGGTAGGCTTAGTTTAAGATATGGGGAAGGATTTGTTATCACTTCTTAAACTTTGAGGTAAATAACATATTTAAAGGAAAAAATTGTGAGATTACTCACTTTTCTTTCTAATCATTTTAAAGAGATGATATCAGAAGTTATTCTTTGTTTTATTTGCCTTAGTTGGCCAATATTTATTGAGTACCTACTCTATACCACATAGTAGTAGTAGTTCTACAATCATGTTGAAAATTCTGTGGATAATCACTTGTCAGTTCTGTTTATGAATGAATACCTTGTGTAAAGGCTTTGTCACTGAAAAAATAGTCACTGGTGAGGTTTTTAATGTGCCTTATCTGTTAAAACAATTCAAATAGCAAACCACTTAATCTTTCTGCTTTCCTTTAATAAATAAATTAATGCAATGTATATAACTCTTTAAACTGTAAAAGCGATAAGAGAAACATTGCAGTAGGAATATAAAGGTTGATTTATTAATGTTTTGCTCAAAGTCTCTTATTTCTCTGGATCTTACTTTCCTTACCTTGTAAATTATGCACTTGGACTAAATGTTCACTAAAGTTCTTTTCCTTCAAGTTTATGTTTTTATTTAATTTTTGGTTTTACTTTTTTTAAGCTCACATATTTTTTTTAAATGCTACTTTTGGCAAAATCAGTGTATCTCTTCATTTGTTCTGTTCGTAAATATTTATTGAACACACCTATGTTTTAGGTTGAGCTTATAGACCCCGATATGGCTCTCAGTTGCAGATGAAACAAATAATATTCTTAGACTCTCTTTCGAGACCTTCCAAAACTTCAACCAAGCTTTCTGTTACTTCTCCTTATATATAGGAAACACTAAAAAAAGACTGTTTTGTTTTTTTTTGTCTCCTAAATAATCCACTTTTTTATTTTTGTGTCTGCCATTATGAATCTTAACAACTTTAGTATGGAGGGATTCTCAATGTATAATATGTTAGTTTATTTCCAGTTTTTATATCTTTTTTTTTTTTTTTTAATTTTAGAGAGAGGAAAAAAGAGAGGGATACATACCATCAATGACGAGAGAATCATTGATCAGCTGCCTCCCACATAACCCCTATTGGGGATCGAGCCCGAATCCTAAGCATGTGCCCTGACCAACCAGGAATGGAACTGTGACCTCCTCGTTCATGGGTCGACACTCAGCCACTGAGCCACACTGGCCAGGCTTTAAAACCTTTTAGATAATGGTGTTTAACTTTGTATAATGAAGCAAAAAAGTGTCAAATGAAGTTCATTATTATCAAATGTCTTAGAAACCTACAAAAATAATTAGGGGATAAATGCAGTAAATTGTAACTTCAATGTGTAATTATAGCTCATGTGAAAATGAATACTCATATTTTAAACTGTTTATTTAAAAAATTATTCCCCAGTCTGGCTGGTGTGGTTCAGTCGTTAAGCATCAACCTATGAACCAGGAGGTTGTTCGATTCCCACTTGGGGCACATGCCCAGGGTGCTGGCTTGGTCCCCCATAGGGGGCGTGCAGAAGGCAGCTGATCAGTGATTCTCTCTCATCATTTATGTTCCTATCTCAGCCTCTTCCTACCTATAAAAATATTTAATTAAAAATAAAAGAACTTGTTGCTTTTTTAAAAAAGTTATTCCCCAAACTATTTTATGTCAATCTATGAAAATATTCCACTTTTACTAGTCATTTTTAGAGAAAATTAGAATTTGTGAGTTGAAAATGAGCAGCAGAAATGGCATTGTATGCTTTTGCATTAAACCTGCTGGGGGAATATCTTATAAAATCACACCGTAATGTAAGGATGTGCTTTGTGTGTGTGTATAACAGATACATAAAACCCTGTGTTGTCACTGCATGTTATCATAAATCCACAGAAATTTAAAGCCTGTGCTTACAGTGATCCCAAGAGAGCCTGAGGTTTGAGCTCTTCTGTAGTAATTTCTTGCTGTAGAGAAAGTTTAATTTTTAATTGATCTTTACTAATCTATTGTCAATGATTTTTCACTAGGCATAAACATTTTTTTGGATGGTTACGTTCCAACAGAAAATTTGAGATTCAGAGATGCATCACTTGTTTTTAAAGTGGCTGAGACAGCAAATGAAGAAGAAGTGAAAAAAATGTGTATGTATAAATATCCCGGAATGAGAAAAAAGATGGGAGAGTTTGAGCTAGCAATTGTAGCTGGAGAGTTTACAGATTCTGAAATCATGGTGATGTTGGGGGAAAATGGTAAGTTTTTCTAATTTTATGATATGTGAACAATCAAGTTCATATTATTTTGTCTGACAACCTTCAGTAAAAATAAGATTTTTTTTAAATCTAGTTTCTCGGATACTGACTAGACAGGAAACAATATTTGCAATTCACAAGCAATCATGTTTCAACTGTCCTGTGCATCAGGCCTCTAGTAGCTTATAAAACTGTGGAATAAAAATTTTGAACTAGGTTGCAATTAACTTAAGTATTTCATGTAAATTGTCTTTATAATGATGGTATGAATCATAACAATACTATTTTATCTTAATAAATTGTTTGCATTGACATTTTATTTAAATATTTTTTTAAAGTAGCCAAAGTCTAATACTTTGTAGGCCTATCATTTATTAAAATGGTCATTATTAATTTTAACTAGTTTATATTCCTCCTAATTAGTTTAGAGCAGTGGTTCTCAACCTTTCTAATGCGTGACCCTTTAATACAGTTCCTCATGTTGTGACCCCCAACCATAAAATTATTTTTGTTGCTACTTCATAACTATAATTTTGCTACTGTTATGAACTGTAAATTTTTTTTTCCTGATGGTTTTAGGTGACCCTGCTAGCGGTTCCCAACTGTGCAACCCCACAGGTTGAGAACTGCTACTATAGAGCCTAAGACCATCTGAAAGCACAGATATTTACATTACGATTCATAACAGTAGCAAAATTATAGTTATGAAGTAGCAACGAAATAATTTTATGGTTGGGGGTCACCACAACATGAGGAACTGTATTAAAGGGTTGTGGCATTAGAAAGGTTGAGAACCACTGGTTTAGAGTTATATTTGAAAGGTGAATCATGAAAGTTTTAAGTATTTTTCTGTATGACCTTCAGAATTCAGTAGTGTCAATGCATATATTTAAATTCATTTCTCAAGTAAAACCCAGTAATACATAGTGATTTACACTAAATATGGAGCATCTTTCAAGTCAATTTGTTGTATGTTGTGTTGCCAGGTACCGGTAAAACGACATTTATCAGAATGCTTGCTGGAAGACTGAAACCTGACGAAGGAGGTACTGTTGTGATCTTTGATTCCTTTTACTCAGTTCTACATAGTAAACTTTAAAGATCAGGGCAGTTTTCAGTGTGTTTTTTATTTGCATTATTTTGCAGGAGAAGTACCAGTTCTAAACGTCAGTTATAAGCCACAGAAAATCAGTCCCAAGTCAACTGTGAGTTATTCTGTTATTTGGTTATTAAAGAAAAGTTATATATATATATATATATATATATATATATACATACATATATATATATATATACATACATATATATATACATACATACATACATATATATACATATATATATATATAATGTTAATCTTTTCTATAACAAAATAATAATTAATTTCTGTACAGTTTTATCAAAATATGTCTAGAGTCCAGCCAGCATGGCTCAGTGGTTGAGTGAATGAGGTCATAGTTTGATTCCCAATCAGGGCACACGCCCTAATTGCAAGCTTGATCCCCAGTAGGGGGGCATGTAGGGGGCAACCAATCAATGGTTTTCTTATCATTGATGTGTCTGTCTCTCTCTCTCCTCCCTTCCTCTCTAAAATCAATAAACACACACACACACACACACACACACACTAGAGAATTATTAAGACTAGTCATTGATTCATTTCCACTAAGAAAATGCTTTTAAAAATCTAATAGGCAGCTTTTCCCAAAATGAACCTTTAAAAACCTAAATTGTTTTGTGCTGCAAATAACACAATCAAGAAACTGAAAAGACCTCTCGTAGTATGGAATAAATTATTTGCAAATCATTTATCTCAAATATATAAAGAACTTTTTTTAAAAAATATATTTTATTTAGTTTTTACAGAGAGAGAGGGATAGAGAGTTAGAAACATCGATGAGAGAGAAACATTGACCAGCTGCCTCTTGCACACCTCCTACTGGGGATGTGCTCGCAACCGAGGTACATGCCCTTGACCAGAATCGAACCCGGGACCCTTCAGTCCGCAGGCTGATGCTCTATCCACTGAGCCAAACCGGTTTCAGCTATAAAGAACTTTTAAAACTCAATTTAAAAATATGCAACAGATTTGAATAGACATTTTTCCAAAGAAGATATATAAATGCTCAATAAGGATATTAAAAGATGCACAGTATCATTAGTCATTAGGGAAATGCAAATCTAAACCACGATGTAATAACCACTTCATACCCACTGGGATGACTTAAATTAAAAAAAAAAAAAAAAAAGTATTGGTGAGATATGAATCTCATACATTGCTGGTGGGAATGTATAATGGTACAACCATTTTGAAAAACAATTTAGCACTTCCCCAAACAATTAAATATAGTTACATACGAAGCAACACTTCCACTCCTAGATATATCCCCAAGAGAAATGAAGACTGTCTCAACACAAAAATTTGCACACAAATACATTATTTATAATAGCCAAAATGTGGGAAATAACCCAAATGTCCATCAGCTGATGAACAGAATAAACACTGTATATCCATAAAATTTAATGTATTCACCCATAAAAGGAAATAAAGTACTAATACATGTTGCAATATGGATGAACCTTGAAAACATTAAGTTAATCTTCTCCAGTTTCTGCAGGTGTATAAGGAACTTCTTGACTTCAGAATCCATACTCAGTACCTCAATACTCACTTAGGACTATTTGAGATGGCTTAGCTGTACAATAAAAAATTTTACCATCGATACTTTCTATAAGCTTACCTTTTTAAAAAATATATATTTTTATTGATTTCAGAGAGGAAAGGAGAGAGAGAGAGAGATCAATGACGAGAATCATTGATCAGCTGCCTTCTGCACACCTCCTACTGGGGATTGAGCTCGCAACCCTGGGCATGTGCCCTGACTGGAAATCGAACATGACCTCTCGGTTCATAGGTCGATGTTCAACCACTGAGCTACAGCAGCCGGGCTAGCTTACCTTTAAATTCTCAAATTCACACCTTTCCAGAAATAACAAGCAATACATCTCAAGATTCATTCCTATCAGTTTGTATTATCTTACTGATTATTCCTATTCTCAATGATTTCTCCCCTGAAACATTCAGCATTTACTTTCAAATTTCAAGATCGCTTTTTTTTTTATTGTTGGACATGATGGGTTTAATTTAAAATTTTCAGAACATGCCATAGATGACAGATAAGCATGAAAACACTATTGATATCTGTTGGTGGCAAATTGACATAGTTTTGCTCTGGAACTTAACTTTGTTACAATTCGTAATTAGAGTAGTTCTGTACTGAAATAAATTTTCAATATTTATCCATTAAAAACAGGGAAGTGTTCGACAATTACTACATGAAAAGATACGAGATGCTTACACTCATCCACAATTTGTGACTGATGTAATGAAGCCTCTGCAAATTGAAAACATCATCGATCAAGAGGTACTTTAATTTTTTTTTTGTTATTTCATTATTTTATTATTTATATCTCTAAATCATTTGCTAACCTTCTCCAAATAGGTACAGACATTATCTGGTGGTGAACTGCAGCGAGTAGCTTTAGCTCTTTGTTTGGGCAAACCTGCTGATGTCTATTTAATTGATGAACCATCTGCATATTTGGACTCTGAACAAAGATTGATGGCAGCTCGAGTTATCAAACGGTAATAACCTCATGAAAGTATTATTTTCGTTATGTGACCTGGCATACAACTGTGCTTAATATAGCATTTGAGTATTTGATTATATAAAACTATAAAAGATTTTGCAATCATGTGTTTTAGCTTCATACTCCATGCTAAGAAGACAGCCTTTGTTGTAGAACATGACTTCATCATGGCCACCTATCTAGCAGATCGAGTCATTGTTTTTGATGGTGTTCCATCTAAGAACACAGTTGCAAACAGGTAAAACTACTTTCTAAAATATTCAGCCTAATTATAACTTTTAATAATTAGAAAGTTATCTAAAATTTTCCAATAAGCTTATAAATATTACTCATACTATTTTAATGTTTTTTTTTAATTCTCACCTGAGGATATGTTGTGGGTTTTTTTTAATGATTTTTAGAGAGAGGGGAAGGCAGAGAGAGAGAAACAGTTGGTTGCCTACCATACTCGCCCTGACTGGGAATCGAACCCGCTCTCTACCTTTTTTGGTATATGGGACGAAGATCCAACCAACTGAGCCACCTGGGGATTCAAACCATTTTAATTTTTAAGAAGGAAAGAGAGAGCCAGAAATAGAAATTATACTGTCACATCTAAGATCATTCACATGGAATTCTTTTTTTTTTTTTTTTTTTTTTTAATATATTTTATTGATTTGTACAGAGAGGAAGGGAGAGAGACAGAGAGCTAGAAACATCGATGAGAGAGTCATCGATCAGCTGCCTCTTGCACACCCCCTACTGGGGATATGCCCACAACCAAGGTACTACATGCCTTTGACCGGAATCGAACCCGGGACCCTTCAGTCCCCAAGCCGACTCTCTATCCATTGAGCCAAACCGGTCTCGGCCACATGGAATTCTTGATGTGACCCGGCAGAATCATTTTCAGACTATTCTAGAACTCCACCCGGGGGGATTAGCCCCTCGCCTTTTCATTTTTGTTAACTTTTTACTGTTCCCTTTTTTTCCTATCATTTTTTTCCTTACTGGCTTGAGAAGATTTGTAATGTAGAGAAGGCTAACCTATAAGGTTTTACTGTAAAACCTTAAATTAGGTTGACCCATATGAAATTACTATATTCAACCATTTTGACCTATAAAAACAGAAATTTTATGTGATTCCAATGTAACATTTTCTGGTGTTAGGAAGGAATGGAGTTGCTATTTTAATTCATTCATGAAATATAAGTAATTTACTAAGCTTCCCAGAATTCCATTCTTTTCATTTTTAAATTCATACATCAACTACTGAAAATTACATATTTCTTTGAGAATTAGGGGCATTTCTTAGGCCATATAAAGCTTATTTATTCAAATATTGATCCTCTTTGTTTTTATACTAGTAAAATGCTTATAAAATGTTCCACATGTATGATGTGATTTAGCATGAATAAAGCATAGACATTTTAAAAGTTCTTTATTACTAAAAACCATTACATTGTACATATTCCCTCCAGTGTCTAATTTCTAACCAAGTCTCTTCTCCCCTAAAAATGTCATGTTTGAAATTCTGTAATTTCCTAGTTAATGATCTTTGCTTTTCTATAGTACTCCCTAAATATTTTTTCCAGATCAGAAACAAGTTAAACTATGTTTGCACAAAAATATTATAGCCAAACTATAGAGTCTACATGAAGATATTTCAGAACCTAGAGTTTATCATATGCTGTAGTATACTACTATCCAGATGGCTTATGATTGGAGAATTAGAGGGAACAGTGAATTTAAGGGGTAGAATTTAATCAAAATTGACCTTGTTTTTTTTCTAGTCCTCAAACCCTTTTGGCTGGGATGAATAAATTTTTATCTCAACTTGAAATTACATTCAGAAGAGATCCAAACAACTATAGGCCAAGAATAAACAAACTCAATTCCATTAAGGTATGTAAAAAAACTATCTTAAATGTTGGATAACTATAGGCATGTTTCAAATTAAAATCTGTATAATATTTTATTAATTTCCAGAGTCATGTTTTCATATTTTAATTCCTGGTGGCATACTTAAGTTTTACGGGCAGCAATTGTGATGTAGCTGCCAGTGCAGCATGAACTCCAGCAGAGCTGTTCATGTCATATGAGTTGTACCCGCTGCTGCACCACGTGTGTTAATTGCCATTTAACTGCCTTCAGAAAGATTACACTAATGCACCAGTGAAACAAGTTTTTAAGAATACCTTAGTTTGTTTGTGTGTGTTTTTTCTTTTTGTGCATGCATAGGAGCAGCATAATTAAAGCATATAGTTGAAGAGTCTAAATAAAGCTCCTTCAATGATCGTAAAATTTTAAACAATGGAAAAATATTTTGTCAGTTTAATTGGCCCTTTTTCTCTCTTTGTGGTATCTAAAATAATTTGCCACCTACACTTAATGTAGTCTGTGAAATACCATTTGTTATCAAAAGGCAATAATTTTTTGGGGGGTTGCTAAAAATTCATTTTTAAAATGAATTCTAAAAAACCCATTTGTTTTTACATACCCTGCAAAGCCTCTTTAAAATTCTGCTTACATTTAGTGGTCTTCTGACTATCATAATACTTTAGAAACTGTAGAAGTATGTTATACACCATTCCCGTAGCAGTCATTAGATTTTATTTTTTGGTCCTCCGCTAGCTTTGTGACTTAACCATGAGTTTTTGGAATGCAAAGACAAGGTCATCGTACACATCATGTTGCCTTTAGCCATCTCTGTGTTTTGTTTATGACTGTTACTCACTGGCCAGGAGAATGAGATGACAAATTTTAACTTAAAAGTGAAGTTTCCTCAATTTTGGAAAACATTAGGCAGAAAAGAGGACCTAAATTCTAGAACATTCATTATGCAGAACCTATTTTTCCTAAGAATTTCTGCTGAAGTATTATGAACACGGTGTTTTATTTTTGTGTGTCCCTCCCTCCCCCCCCTTTTTTTAATTGAATGAACACTGTACTGTCACTTTTTTTTTTTTTTGCAGAAATTTCTGGTTTGGTTCTCTCTGCCCACTCATCTGAGTCATACCTTAACCCTAATAAGCGAGCAGCTAGGCTAATAGTTAGATGGATATGGATCATTACTGGCCAGTCAGTAAAGAGCACTGGGGAAATTTTTTATGTATTTTGTGCACTAGGCAGTTTTCATACCAACGTTATGGACCTTTTGTACCAAGAGCTTAAAATGATGAAAATGGAATTTAATAGTTTTCCTGGAAACAGTATTTTTTGTGGCAACTTTATGAGTGTAAATAAGTATTTTATGTGAAGGGCTTGGCTTGATGTGAACCAAAGGAGGTAGGTGTTCTGTAGTAGGAATGGGTAGTAATCTTGCTTTTAAGTCTTGGACCAAGGAATATCCAGAAGCAGACCTGGTGTTGATTTTTGTTGCTTCTCTATTTTTCAGGATGTAGAACAAAAGAAGAGTGGAAACTACTTTTTCTTGGATGATTAGACTGAATCTGACAATATCGATAAACCATTTATGAAGATAAACATTGGGATTTTGTCATATAAAACTTAAATCAGGTTTAATGCCCCACTCCCAAGCCTGAAGTAGAATTTGCTGATTGTAACATAAGCCAGTTGTGTTGTAAATTGTAGTCTGAACCACAAAAAAAAAAAAAGACGACTTTTCTGTTCTTGATAAGGCCCTTTTTGCCTCTAACATTCTAAAATGAACACATTTCAAGCTACATTAATTACCTCCAAACTTTCATGATGTAGAGGAAGATTTTTCAGTAGACGTGCTACTATATTCATGTACCAAATGCTGACCAGTGTTGCCCCCTTTTAAAAGTCTTAAGTTTCTGTACTTATAAGTAATTTAATGAACTGCCCTTATTTTAAAGTTGGTCCAAGTCTCCACTGATGAAATTTGATAAATAAACCTTAGGATTATATTTGTTTCCAGTCTTTGCACTATATTATCAGTGTGTTTAGATCATCTACTATAAACCACCACTGTCAGAAATGCTGTTACCAACTTAATCGTTGCTTACAATTTTTGGTGCTTTTGAATATCTTCGTAAAAATCATTTCAGTATCCCAACTCTCACCAAGAAAACAACATAATTTCACTTTGATATACTCACGCTTAGCATACAATAAGATTCTGTTTTCTGTAATTGCTCTCAAGGTAATACCGTGTTTCCCCGAAAATAAGACCTAGTGCATGGAAAGATAAGACATCCCCTGAAAATAAGACTTAGCGCAACTTTGGGAGAAAAAATTAATATAAGACACTGTCTTATTTTGGGGGAAACAGGGTAGCTCTCTAAACAACTTTATAATCACTAAACAAGATTTAGGAAAAGGCACTGTAAAGAGCACTTGCTTCCCAGGCACAAAAATCTCTCAAGTTGGTGCCTAAGCATTTATGTTATTAAGTTTCCACAGATTTCTGATGGGCAGCCAAGGCTGTGAGCCACTTAATCTAAAGGCAACATTAATGCAAACACTCCCCAGGTAACAGTACAAAGTATCCCTTGTACTACCAGATACACTCAATTCTAAATTTGGATCTAGAGGCTATTATGTAAATCTATTACACTTTTTTTTTTCTTTTTAGTTTTGGTTAATGTAAAGCACGAGTTCTAATATTTTATCCAAGTCCTCAGTTTGAGCAATAGGATTTTAATATTTTTATTGATTTCAGAGAGGAAGGGAGGAGGACAAATAGAAATATCAAAGATGAATCATTAATCAGCTACCTCCTGCAGGCCCCACACTGGGGATAAAGCCTACAAGCTGGGCATGTACCCTGACTGGGAATCATACCATGACCTGGTTCATAGGTCAAGGCTCAACCACTGAACCATACCAGCCGGGCATAAGTTGTAAAAATTTACCCCAATTCTCAGTTTGAGCAATAGGAACCTCTAGTGTGAAACCTCTTTCAGTTATGCTTCTGACTAATGCAGTGAACTGGAACGACCATGCTGTAAATGAGGGAAATTACTGAACAGCTCTAACCCGTTTGGCTCAGTGGATAGACTGAAGGGTCCCTGGTTCGATTCCAGTCAAGGACATGTACCTTGGTTGCGGGCATATCCACAGTAGGGAGTGTGCAAGAGGCACCTGATCAGTGTTTCTCTCATTGATGTTTCTAACTCTCCCTCTCCCTTCCTCTCTGCAAAAAAAATCAATTTTTTTAAAAGAAATTATTGAACAGACTTTTATAGTTACTTGAAACAATAGCTTAGCTTTGATTGATATGCAAATTGGACAAAGTATAACAGGGCCCCACTAGGCCTTTTTAAAAATATATAAACTAGAAGCCCAGTGCACGGAATTTGTGCATGGGCAGGATCCCTAGGCCTGACTGGCGATCAGGGTCAATCTGTGGGGCAACAGGCAAGGCAATGGGGGGAGGGGAGTGGCCTCTGGTACCCACCTTGGCTGGACAAGCACCGCCTGCTCACCAGCCCCACTTCTCCCTTCCCCTGCCCGGGGGCAATCCAGGGGTGGCACCAGTTCATGCACCAGCCACCCCACCACTACCAGTCACCTCCTCGGTGGGGTGTCCAGGGGGCCCCTGCTGGCACCCACCCTGGCTGGCCTGGGGCTTGCAGGCTGGGGGCAGCTTCTGCGTTGAGTGTCTGCCCCCTGGTGGTAACTATGTCATATGGTGGTTCCACCATTCATTTGATTTGCATTATAAGCTTTTATTATATAGGATACATATTTGTGAAAAATTCAAATGTACCGAAATCTATGGAATAAAAAGTTATGATCTCCCTTCATATTACCCTCCCAAAGTTTACCAGTGTTAATATGTAAAGGGCTTGTATTGTATATAAATGGGATTATACTAAAATATGTAGTGCCTACTTTTAAGGATAGGTTAAATTTGTGGATGATTATTTCAAAAAATTGAATAAAATAAGCCAAAAGCTATTTTTATTTACTGATTCTGTATTGAACTAAAGAATATACAATATGTAAAGAGCACAATTCTACCTATTGCTTATGACAGAATATGTATTACATTTTTCATGCAGATGAAATTTAAAAATACAGCTGTTACTTAAATTTTTGTGGCAGTAGAAAAGGGCTTACAGTTGCTAACGAAAAATTTTTTTCTATAAAATCAGTTATTACCAACTCAGAAACACCATCAATGGAGAAGTTAGCTATTTAAAAAAAAGACTGTTGAATATGTCCTGATTGGAAGAAATCTCTAGGCAAAAAAGCATGGTGCAAGAGAGTTTATATAATACACCATTCATATGAAAATATACAGAATATTAAAGTACACAAAAGGATACTCAAGCTTAATGCTTTGAGGAAGAATAACTTGATTAACTTAGGAAAGGTGATATATATATATATATATAACACCTGTTGCTTTCTGAATTTTATATTTTGTACATATCAAATGTTTAGAAATCATTTTGGTACCTTAAAATCCAATCCAGTATCTCTCTTGCTAATAATTCATTGTATAGTTTGGTATGTAGTGTGCCTACAGTATTGAATGAATCTATTTGTCACAGGAAGTAGGAAGACAGGATAACTACTTGGTTCTATAATTTTGTTCATGTTCATTAACATCTAGATATGTGTATGTCAGACTTAACCCAGTGCCTGGTGTAATATGAGCACTCAGTGGTCCAGGCGAGAAATAGTTGAGTCAGAAAGGGCTACATGAAGGAGGTAGCTCCCAGAAAAATATAGTACCTGTAACAATAAATGGTAAAATAATCCATGTAAAGCAGAGCACATGTCAGGTCAGAGGCAGAGATCAGCATGTGCATTGAAGAGATGCAGGGGTCCTCAAACTTTTTAAAGTGGGGGCCAGATCACGGTCCCTCAGAGAGCTGGAGGGCCGGACTATATGAACTACTAATTCCTACTGTAACACCTCGGCTGCACTCACTGCCCAAAAAACCTGGCGGGCCGGATCAGACTCCTCTGCGGGCTGCATGTGGCCAGCGGGCCGTAGTTTGAAGACGCCTGTGTCTCTCACAGTTAGGCAAAGTCATGTTGATTCAGCCCTAGTCATGAAATTGAAAGTAACAGTCTTTTGGGAGGAGGAGGGATTCTGGAGGCTCTCGTTTTTCCAATAAAAGGATATCTGGTAACTGTCCTTGTAGATGTTGTACCCATAAAGTGGCGCAAGAAATGCCAAAAATGTTAGTCTGAGGTGTAACCAGCAGCTACTCTCCAAATATCTTAAAGGGAAATAAATCCCTATTTGTTTAAGCTACTATAAGTCAGATTGTTAAAATAATCTTGGCTCCTTGACTGAGGTCTGTCCAAAGGCTTTCAGTTTTCTTCTACCAGGTGATCCAAGCATATTTCAAACTTGGAACCACTTTTTATCTTAGCTCGTAGATTCCTGGACCTCAAACCTAAACAAATGTGATAATGTCTGTGTTTTGTATTTTCCCTTTAAGAATCTGGAACCCAGGCCAGGAAAGGCTTTGTTTATAGTAAATTTATGCTATGCTATTACCATTAGTGCCCGTTTTACTGGGGTGCTCCTGGTTGTAATGTAAATTTGTTTCAGCTCTCAGCATTGCCTGTGCCTATGTCTCCTATCTACACAGCTCTCAGCTAATGAGGTTACGTCATGTCTGTCCAATAATCCCTTCCTGTAGAGCATGGCTCCATGCCTATGCTAGTCTCCATTTCTGGCCTCTCCCTGATTTGTAAACACACCTTTTAAAACTAGAGAAGACTTACATGCTTTTACTAATTCCTAATTTAGAAAGTAACTTACAGAAAGTATGCAACAAGTTACACAGTAACATATCATAGGTAGGTATATAGCATTACTTTTGTTTTCTCCACCTGGAGATCAATAAAAATAAAAAAAATTATGCAGTTAGAAAAAAATAGCTTACACATATTTTGTGTGGGAATCAATAGCTTGCCAGTTTAGTTTCATTAGACTATTGAAAGGTACAGGAAGCCATAAGATCAACACTCTTCATTTTTTATATTTGCATCTTTAATCTTTACAAGATTTTTCTGTAAATGTAATCGTAGGACTGGTATGTATTTTTAAATAGTTGACTTTGAGCTCTAACGAATTCCTAGATTAAAAAAATATTTAGTATGACATTTTTACCAATGGCGGAGTGCAAGACTCACTTTTGAAAGAGTTTCTTATTGTCTCTGAAGAGAAGTTGTGTTTACTTCTTTTGTAGTGTATTTCTCAAACTATCCCTAGATATGTACCTAAAGTTGAATGAAAATATAAAATATTCAAAGTGAAAAAGCAGGCCCTTCCTATAGAAACTTCTGGAGAAACCCTGGACAGGGCACACTTACTGTGGACCAGTGGTCAATTGGTCTTACCTACTTACTTACTGTTCCATTTCAAGTGACCAGTTCTATAAGGGTTCCAATCAACACTCCCAGCTTTCCTCCCCATGCTCTGGCTTCTCTATTGACTTGTTGGCAAAAGATAGTGGCACTCACAGATAAATACTTCCCCCTTTTCCTTTCTTTCTCCCTCTGATCCTTCAAGGTTCTGTGATACTTCACTCACCACCTCAAGCAATCCCTAAAAACTGGCCTCTATGACTAACCAACTTAACTAACCAGGATACTACCTTATCACTTTCTGTCAAACACCTGTAATGAATGAAGCCTTTGCTTCAGGCTCTGCCTACTGGAGAAGCCATTCTAAAACAAAGTACATATTAGTAAGTAGGTTAAAGTACTGGACTAGCCATACACTTAGGTGACTTAACTTACTTTCACTTTTCAAAAAACAAAAAACTTTTCAAATGATTTGCCTTATTTCTCTTCAGAACACAAATATTGAATAGTAATTTTAAAAATAAAAGGGCCATTTAATCTAGAAATTACTCTTAGTCTACATTCCCATTTCCAGGCACAGTCAGAAAAAGAGAATACTAGCTTTAAAACCTCTCAGCTAGGTTCAAAATTCAAATCCTACCAACTTAACTTGCAATGAGTTTAATCTAATTACTTGGCCTGTCTGTTTTATTACATACTAGAGCCCAGTGCACAAAATTCGTGTTGGGGAAAGGGGGGCTCTCACCCCAACCTGCACCCTCTCCAAACTGGGACCCCTTGGAAGATACCAGACTGTCAATTTAGGCCATTCCGCAGTGAGCCTAAACTGGCAGCTGGACATCCCTCTTGCAATCCAGGACCGCTGGCTCCTAGCCATTCTCTCCTGCTGGACTGATTGCCCCTAACTTCTTCTGCCTTGGCCCCTGCCATGATGACTTTGTCTGGAAGATGTATGGTCTAATTAGCATATTACCCTTTTATTAGTATAGATATATAGAAGTAGGGAAAAGAATAGTACCTACCCCGTAAATTACACATGGTTTTTAGTTATACACACTAGAATTTTGACTGGATAAAAATCACTTATTTTTAGTTCAATAAATTCCTCTTAAGATTTATATGCTATATACTGAGTTAACTCTGGAACCAAAGAATCACAAGCAAAATCAACAGACAAAATTTAATATATGCACACAGTTTCATATATAATGCAGCATCACACCATGTAGGGCATTTACTCTGATACATTCAGATATGTTTGAAACACTTCTTAAGGCTACAAAACAGAACATAGAAAAATAAACAGGAATATATGCAACACTTACAAAAAGTGATATGATAAAGAATATAAAGTACTATTTTCCTTTCAACACTTCCAAAGATATTTATATATAATTTTTTACAAGTAACATCACAAATGATCACATCTTCACATGCTTTTAAAGTATTATTTGTACTCAGTATAAGGCTATTATTTTTCATACTTAAATTTTTTTCTATCTCTGTAACAATGCAATTTTAATCCATTCAAGTAAAATTCAACACCAAAGTTGCTGTTCCCCAGCATTAAGACATGCACTCTCCCCTTTACTAGGATTTTCTAAAACTTATTTCGGGGGCTGGGGGAGGGGTGTCCCGATTAGTGGGAAAGTAAATGGCTGACACTAGTAGTAAAACCTTAGTTCTTTGAGACTGACATGCTGGAACTGAGCCATTATTAAGGTTTTAAACAAGAAACAAAACATAGTAAACAGAAATAGTGTAGCCAAATATGCATTCTCTTCAGCTACACCAAAATGGACCTTGCTTAGTACCCACAAGTGAAAGACTACAATTCCCTCATCTAAAACTGAAGGTAAAATAAATGAGACATAAATAAATATTGCTAGTTTCTAGGATGGCTGAATGTTTTCTAAACCAGAAATGGTTAGAAAGGAACTTTATTGCACCAAGTCAATCATAAGCAAGTTTGCAGTTCACAGGCATTTTAATTCAATCTTCAATCACAAAGGAAACATAATGCAAAATATACAGTTTATATCAACTAAGCACTGTGGTTTGGGAAAACCTACTCCTGCCAGATCAAGGCAGGGTCTGAGCTCAAGTCAAGATGAAAATGAATATATGGGTTACCAGAAAACAGAATGAAAATTACACAGATGCTAGCATCCTGGTTCCAAGGAGTACATGGAGCAAGAGGAAGATTTTATCAGAAGAGCTTGAAGAAAAATATACCCAGTAATAAAAAGGTCAAAATCAAGTTTAGCAAAAGCCAAAAGAAGTGACCCTTGGTCATTCTAAACATTTGTTTTTTAAAATGTATATAATCTTAATACAGTGAAGTTCCATAATTTCCGACTCAAAATAAAAATGATTCTCACTTCTAAGCATTAGTTTTTCTTATATGGAAACATTGTCTGATAAACATTGTATCTCATGTCAACATACCATATGACTCAATCAAAATGAAGGACAAAAGCTCACTTGGTTCAACCTCGGCATAAGGCAAATCCCCTGAAAACATTTAAAACAAAACTTAAAATAAAAAACTGACCTTCATGCAAGGACTCATAATTTTAAAACTAATTATCAAAATTCAGAGTTCTTTTATTCCAGAGGTCACTGAGTAAAGTACCATCTGCAAAGTTCTCTTTCAGCACTGTTTCCATCATGTCCTGGAGGTAAATATGGGAAACAGGAAAATCAGTATTTCTTACAGGAACTATAGAGTATGTTGTTACTCAACTGAGGTAAGACAGTGAAGAAATGAACAGTATTCTTTCCTATCCAATTTCAACTTTTCCAAAAGAAAGTGAGAAGATCAAATCCCAGTCAATAAAAGACGTTGGAAACACCATTTTTTTTTTGTATTTTTTTTTTTTTTTTTTGTCTCCTGAGTTTAAATTTACATTGAACTTTTAAATCTGGCCATAATATCTAAAGGTGATTTTCATAAAAACTATCAGATACACTAATCTTACATTAAAAAATATGAGCTGAGAATAAAGGACCCGCTAGTCTCATTCCATAACAACTGATGTTAACTAAGAAAAAAATGGCTTAAGCAGTACCTTCCCCAATTGTTAGAGCTTAGAAGGTGACAACAGAAATTCCTTTCAGCAGGTTCTCTCAGTACTTCCCACACAATCATCTTAGTCTTTAAAGTTTTTACTTAGCACCATCATAATACATCTTTCAAAGTGCTCGCTAAAATCCTATGTTACAAAACATCTAATGATAATCACTACTTGAATCAGCAGTTACACAGACATTAGGTAATTAAAACAGAGGTAAAATAACCATTATTACAGTACAGTGGAGATTCAGAGCCTGGCTGGCATCCCAAATAATTCTGTATGTTATCAGAGAACCCAGAAAACTCATCTGTTTCAGTTTGTCAAATTCAAGTGAATTGTATTTGCTTTTTTTTAAAAATATTCATTTTTGGCTAGGTATATTATACATGGCATGCAAAGAGAAATTACTACTTTATTTGCATAGCGCTCAAACTTCCTGATCAAAAAAGAACATAAAAAAGGGTATATATTCACATTAGTATATATAAATGAGAAATAAAAGTTATAATTATACAGTATAACACAGATTAATGAATACTGTGTTAATTCAAAGTCAAATCTCCAAATGAGGACAGAGTGCAACATGCAAAGGGAACTTCTAGTGAAATACTGCGAAGACGAAGACAAGAAGGAAGCAGGATGGACAGGTTACCCAAGAGGTAACAAGATATAAAATGCAGAGCAAAACCACTTTCTAGCAGCATCCTCTAGAAAAGAACCAGAAGTCACAATCATCCTTTTCTGTACAATAGTTCCAGCTGTGACAAAGTGAACATGCAAATGTAAAGTGATGCACACAACCAATGGTGCAAAGTGAAAAAACAAAACAGGAACTCTATTGAAACCTGTCAAGCTAAAAATTTTTAACATTTCGTCTCTCAAAATATTTAAATCTGTCAGTGCATTAGTGTTAAAGTGGCATTAAAAAACTTCTGCAGTTTTAACAGATGCAGATTATTTTCAAAATGCATAGCATCTACATTTCTTTCGAGTAGGCACCATATTTACACCAGTGCTAAGAATTCTTGGTGGAAACAGCCATTTCATTGTATTTCCTATTATTTCTTAAACGTATGTTCTAGTATGCGATCTCAAATTCAACAAATACCAAAATTCAAAAATATACCCTATTAATATTAAAAGAACTATATACAACATTTCTAAGACACAGGTTAATAGGCTGCCTTATGTGTAATATTAAAAAGAAGACATTATTCAAGTTTGACAGATATTGAGATGAAAGGCCTTTGGGTTGGAAGCATTTCAAAAGACAACAGTGTTTTAGCCTAAGAACTGTTTGAGCCCAGTTTATGACTAAGGCATTGCATAATAAAATATACATTTCTATTTGGTGCAATGTTATGTTTTGGAATCTATCATATGTCAAATGGTGTATTTTCTTGTAACTTTAGTAAACACTATACAGCACACATTTCCAACATTTAAAATTAAACTTATATAAGGGAAAAACAAACAAACACTAAATCTATAATGTTTTATATTAAGCTGTTTATAAAAAATACTTTAATAAACTTATTTTCTACTTATGGGGCAGTCACCCCATAAATAAACAGATTTTGAACAAAGAGAAATGGCAACGCCAGGAATTCACCTGCCCCCTTGAACACATATCCAAAATCTCTTGTCCAAAATAGAAGTGAGGGTAAAGGGGTAGGGGAGGAGATAGTTCCAATTTGGGTTTTTATTTTAATGTATTTTTTTAAAGCCTTTAGAAACATTCCACCTAAGAAAAGTTTCTGCTCTAATACACTGCAACAACAGCCATCAAGTATGTTGTCCCCGATGGCCATCTCCCATCCCTGACCTCCTCCTATCCCCCCTATAGGGCCGTCCTCTGCCATTTCGATGGTACTGATAGCCTTCATCTCGGCTTCTGCTTGGCTGCCCTTTCCAGGACTCCTCACCTCTTGTATGTTGATATCCTCCCCTACCAGAATAGCCCCAATCACTTTTGTACTTTCTGCCTCCATACGTCTGATTATAGAACTGCTTTGATCTACCACTTCTCAGAATATTAGACACTTCATTCTCATCTTCTGAACTCTCTTCTTTTGGTCTCTGTAGTCTGCTATCCACAGAGTTGGCCCCACTGACCACATCAGCAGCAGTCTTAGGATCTTTCACTTTTTCTGGTTTTTCTTTCAGACTTGGAATGGTCCTTTTAGGCTCAGGTTCAACAGGCACAGTTTCTCTCTCTCTGTTTAGATTCTGATTGGGAAGATGAGCCTTTCCCTCTGCTACTGGAGGGATGGAAACCAATGCCAGATCTGCCTTAGGTGTCTGGGACGACTGCTCTGCCCGGCCTTCATGCTCACGCACATCTGCTTCAGGGATAGCATGTTGTGTGTCTTCACATCTGGCCTCCTGAAACTCACCTGCTGAAGCTGAACCACCTTGTTTAGACAGATCCAGATTTTCCAAGGGTAGATCCAATTCTTTCTCATCAGAAGGCAGAACAATATTCTGCCTCATTACTGGACTTTCTATGAATCCCTGAAAGGGGTACCCATACCAAACAGGAGGAAAGAAAGGAGGTGCAATGGGAACTGGGCCTAAGAATGGATTAGGCCCAAAGGATGGTTGTGGGAACATATTCTTGCCACTTAGTGACTCTTCATATTCAGCATGAAGAAGATGTCCAGAGTTTTCAGATTCAAGATCAGCCTGGTAAGACAACTGTCCATGACTTTCCGACACCTGAGATGGAGGGATAACCAGAGGTGAAGAAAATGTTGGTGGTCCAATCTCTGCATGTGGCATTTGACCATTAACACTGGGCTCAGTCTGCATAGGAAAGTGTGCATCAGCACAGGGACAATCACTTTCATTCTGAGCAGGAGCTTCTTGGAACCAAGGGTTTTGAGGATACACAGGGACAGGGACCTTTGGGTACATCCTGCAGGCTGCCAGGTAAGCCTGGTGCAGAGGATACAGGTAAGAATGTGGAGCCCACATAGGACAACTATATGCCTAAAAGAAACAAAACAAAAACAAAAACAGTTAAAAAAACAAAAGGTTGAAAGTTTAAAGCTGGCTCAAGATGGTTCTTATGTCTACAAAGAGCATATAATCTGCAGTCCAAGCACTACATCACTGTGAGACTCAACATGGAAAAGAATTATAAAATCAAAACTGCTCTAAACCTCCATTCCTTGTCCTATCCTGAAACCAATCCAAAGTCCTGTATAGATGTTGACAAATGACAATATAATGAGCCTACCCAAAGATTATCATGACTATTAATTTCATTCTTTGGATATAACTGCACGAAAACAATTATAGGTGATATGGATCTCAAAAGCCACCAACAGAAAGCACTTGAGCCTCCAGCTTCAACTACCTCAATCATTGGCTGTATAGCTCGACCTGCATTTGTATTTTGGCTCTATCATTAGCTCACTGTGTGTGAACCCATGCAAACTAAATAATTGGTCTGGACCTGCTCTACCAGAGCAGTATAGGAGTAGATGACCCCCAAGGCTACAACTCCACAGTTCTGGGAGACCCCAGAGCACTCCACAAAGATAAAAGTGAGACTCCTAATCACAGAAGGTAATACAGGAGACAACACAGCACTGACAAGGACAAAAAGTTCCCCCCGTCTCTCTCCAAGACAAACTATTGTTTGGCTGACCACTTCCCAAAGGAGTCCTCCACTCCACTAGTGAACACCCCACCTTCTATAGGGATACTTTTACATGGTATTTCCTTGATCCTTTAAACAATGAGGCAGGTCAAAGAATGCTACCACTATTCCATAACTTCAAAAAGCTGGGCTCAAATACATTAAATGTCTTGTCCAGAGCTATCCAGCTAAAAAGTGATGCAGCAGAACTTTAAACCCAGATGGCTCACTCCCTCACTGAGGGTATTTCCACTAGGCCACCCAGGGACAGAGCCATCTCCTGAACATACTCACAGGGCTAAATCACTGCCCATTAAAAGGAAACTCAATCAAAAATTGGAGCCTCAACCACCACCAAAAAGAAACATACTACATAATTCTGAAATTGCTAGTTAAGATGAGATTTAGTAAATCTTAGGGAATTTACTCTTAAGATAATTAAATAAGAATTTAAATCTGTTTACTTGAAAATAACTTTAAAATGATAAAATGTAAATACCTTTACACCAAGATTAAAGAAGAATCGAAGAATGTTCTTATCTGAAAATAAATAACATAATCATCATTCACTATAATTATACATTTCAATTCACATTGAAATCATCACTTTTAAAGTGTTTAAATCAGCATTCACAATTATCTTGAGATGGGGAATGATCACCATAAGCTTTCTTAACTATTCAGCAGCACTTTTCTTCAAAATAATGAATTAAAACTTCCCTCAAATGCATTCTTTGGCACAAAACCAGACATTTTTAAGTGTAAAAAATGTCTATGATGTTAACATCTTCAGAAAACTTGACATATGAAGATTTGAAGCTTGTTGTCAACACAACAAGATAGCATACATTTCAAATTGCATATGTATCAACATATGTGGAACTCCATCTATTGAAAAAAACCCCAGTTAACCTAGATGTACCTAGTACATCTCTAACTCAACCAGTACCAGTACTTGACAAATAAAATCAGTTTTAACTTGGAGAAGCAGCTCACCTTTAGGCAGGTCCTCCCCAGTGTGACACAGTGAATAAGGTGGTGCAATGGCTCTATCTCCCTTTTCATTACAAGGAAACCCAGGGTAGAGTGGGTCTTGGTAAAGGCTCAGAGTCTGAGGCAAAGGCATCAAGGGCTGGTTAACTGCCTGTATTGACACAGGAACTGGAGAGGGTGTTAAATGAGCTTGGGACACGGCAGAATCAGGTCCAGTGGTCAGGGTCTGTGTCACTGATAAAACCGGGATTTGAGCAGGGACACCTACAAAAGAAAAGGAATCAAAAACTATAAATAGTTGAAAATAATTTTCTACAACTACAAGTTTACATTAAGGTAAAAAGAAAAGTGTGCTATACAAATTATATACCTGTTAAAAATATGTGTACTTAAGCAATACAAAGAAACTTTTTATATTAACCAAGGACCCTTCCTGATATACAGGAGAAAATGAACTCAAGAAACAAGCTTTTCATCAATGTCACGAGTGTAGCTCTTACAAACATATGTACACAGAGCCTGACAAAGTTTTCAATGAGGATCATTAGAACTGGTCCACGGGGAAGGAAACTTTGGTGTCAGTGCTGAGTAAGCAAAGCAACCAGGGGAGATAAACAGCTCACACATCTTCCTCCTGGGATGTTGAGGGAGTTATCTCAAATGAATTCCACACAAGAAGCAAAGAAGAGGAGAGGATAGCAAAAAAGAGGCTCCATATATCTAACCCTACTGCGAGGTCAAACTCTCACTTGAACATTTGAAGTCTCTAACTTGGAAAGCTTACGTTGGATGGTTCACTGTATTTTTAAAATTCATAACTAACCTGTTGGTCCAAAAGATGTAGGCTCACTTGGCCAGGCTGGCACAGTGGCTGGTAAAGAAGGCACCGCAGGAGCTAGATGTACCTCTGGAGAAACCAGAAGGGGAGCTGGATTTGACAAAGACACATGTTCTGCTGGCTTCTTCAAAAAGAGAGGATGAAAAGAGATAAGAGTTCATTTTAACCACAAATGTACTCTGAGTTGCCTACCTTTCTACTGCAGCTTCTATATTAATGGTCTTTCTGATCTTATAAAGAAAGAAAAAAAGCACAGTAGCTAAAAATTCCACACAAACAAATTTGATTCTAAACAGGGACTGCCTGCCGAAAGTCACAGAAGTCATTGGCAGAGTTACAAACAAACTTTGAAGCATTGAACACAAGGCTTTTAAGGCAAGGAAGCAAAACCATTGAAATCACTTTGAAATTCATGAGTTTTTAAGAACAGTTCCTCACACGAAGACATGCCACAAAACTGTGTATGCTTTCTAACTGACATAAGGATGTTAACTGAAAGGCAAAAACTACAACCTTTCTCTAGGCCTGTATTAGACCAAGAATCAAAATGCTGCTGGAACTCGGGTTCCTTCATCATTAAATTCAAAAACTGGTGATATGGCTCTTTAAACATTGTTTCCCCCTAATGTTAATGCAGACTACTGAAAAGTTTTTAAAGTAGAAAATTCCAAAACTCAAATTTTCAAGCCAACCCACCAAATACAAATTTATTCAAAATCAATTTAGAATGACTTCTATGTCCAAAATATAGTGTACCTAAAAATAATATCTCATTAAAACTGAAAACATTCTGAACAACAGCATTATAAAAATTACAGCTATCCAAATTATGATGTTAAAATATATCCTCCCATTTTCTATGTAGATGTTTTCTGTTTTTAAATGTTATCAAATACAGAGCTAAGAGACCCAGAGAAGGGAGCCTTCCATAACAGATGCAACAATGTACTTACTTGTTCTGCAGGAGGTGGGCATTCTAATTTCTTTGACTTTGATGGTGATGAAATTCTTGCACACTTATCATCATTAATATTCTTTAGAAGCAAAAAACAAAACAAACAAAAACACCAAAAATGTAATTTTGTATTTCAAAGACCCACATTCTAGGATCATAGTGGTTGCCTTTATTGTTCACCCTACCACGTGATTGAACCCTCTCAATGGTCTTTTTTTCAATTACATCTGGCCTTCATCAGAGAGTAACACAGCTTGCACATCTTTATATCAAACTACTAATACATTTTTATTGGGGACAAAGTTTCAAAGAGCACACTTTTCCTTTAAAAACCTCAACCCACTGCCCTGGCCAGGTGGCTCGGTTGGAGTGTCCTCCTGTGCACCAAAAAGGCTGCAGGTTCGATTACTGGTCAGGCACATACAGGTGGCAGCCAATCGATGTTTCTCTCACACATCAATGTTTCTGTTTTTTTCCTTTCCTCTCTCTAAAATCAATGAACATATACTCAGGTGGAAATTTTTTTTTTTTTAATCTCAATCTACTATAGATTATTGGAAAAGCTACTCCCCACCAATTCAGATAGGTCATCATAATGTACCCAAGAAATGGTTACAATGGTGAGTGAATTCTCCTCAAGCACTATTATCTTTTCCCCATTTTTTCTCTACCTTTCTACTTCCCTAACAGTTATCAAATGCTACCGCTTCTTTCCTGATATATTATTATCACAGTGTTATAAGGAAAACAAAAAGATGCAATTAGTATTTAAAACATTTACCTCTGATGTGCTTGGCCCAGGTTTTTTATCCAGGTGAGTATATCCATGGCTAGAGTCTGTAACAGATCAAGATTAAAAAGACAGCATCAGCCAATAGGTTTGAAGACAGAAAAACACATTATAAAAATATAGAAAGCCAAAAGTACTATTTGCATAATTTAATCCATAAAAAATACAGTTTTCTGAATGACATTTATTTAACAGGAGTGTTAGCCTGAGTCAGTTTCTGTCAGCAACAGATGTATGACATTAAATTGCTTAATGATTTTAAAAGTTCTTTTTCTAATGGATGACTTTAAATCAGACACAGAACTCCAGTACATGCTTTCATATGATGAAATAACATACCTTTATCTTTTCGTTCTTCGGTATCCATTCTCCGCCTGCTTCCTTTTCTATCACTCACATATGATGATTTTCTCTGGATGCATGGATTGCTACTCTGAGAAGATGACTGACTGACTGATGAACTCTTCAAATGAACAAAACCCAATTTTGTGTTAAAGATTTACCCATAAATATATTCTTTGTACATCTGATTAAAAATCTCAAAATTCATAGTCATGTCTTTATACTTCCAAAAATAAGACCTAAGATTCATATTTAATTATGTCCTCTACAGTTATAGGCTTATTAATAAGTCTAAGTGTTACGCAATCAGACAGATCTTTGGCCTAAATTATTTTAACACTTCTTCATATCCTTATAAGGGAAAGCTGCTCTGACCAAACTTTCACCTTGCAATTTATATTCTTTGGACAAAGAATAGCAAGCACCCTTCCGAGCAACCTTCAAAAACAGTTATTGTAGAGCCACAGTCCTTTTGTGGGGAAAGATACCCAAGTGCAAATTAACAGATACAGTGCACTATGATTGTTATTCACTGAAATGCTACTGATGTAAGCACTGCATGAGATCTAACTTTCTAATTGGTGTAACAAAAGGACTAGAATAAGTCAGGTTTTTAAGCTAAATTATCATTGAAGGTCCTCTCCTGTTCTGGTATTAAGAGCTGAGAAGGGGATCTTAGGAGTTTTCTAGAAGACAAGACAGGATTCAAACTGCCTACTAGTAATCTAAAAATGATGAGTATGACTCCATTCTGACAATCAAATATTTCACATTGTATTCCTACATTACAGTAGTCATAGTCTTACCGTTCACTAACTGAAAAAGGACAAAAAGCTATGAGTACAAGCTTAAATAATTTGTGTCTGTTTTAAAATCTAATTATTATGGGAAAATAATATCCTATATAATAAAAGGCTAAATATACGAACAGTAGAATGACCAGTAGCTATGACACACACTGACCACTAGGGGGCAGAAGCTCAATGCAGGAGCTGCCCCCTGGTGGTCAGTGCACTCCCACAGGGGGAGTGCCGCTGAGCCGGAGTCATAGCTGGCAAGCACAGTGGCAGTGGCAAGACCCTCTCCCGCCTCTGGAACAGTGCTATGGATGTCTGACTGCCAGCTTAGGCCTGCTCCCCAGAGAGAGTGGGTCTAAGTCGCCAGTCAAACATCCCCTAAGGCAGGCATCCTCAAACTTTTTAAAGTGGGGGCCAGATCACGGTCCCTCAGAGAGCTGGAGGGCTGGACTATATGAACTACTAATTCCTACTGTAACACCTCGGCTGCGCTCACTGCCCAAAAAACCTGGCGGGCCGGATCAGACTCCTCTGCGGGCCGCATGTGGCCCACGGGCCATAGTTTGAAGACCCCTGCCCTAAGGGCTCCCGGAATATGAGAGGGCGTAGGCCAGGCTGAGGGACCCCCCTCCCTGAGTGCACAAGTTTTGTGCACTGGGCCTCTAGTATTACATAAAGATAAATATACTTAACACACAACCCATGTCTAATAATCCCTAAGCTCCAAACCCTATTCCAGACTGAACTATTATTTCAGACGAGCTGTTTTCAACCAACATCTCACACCTCTAAAAGATTCCACAGAGGCCAGTGGACAGATAATTGAGTGTGAGGGACATTAATGTTTTACACTGGTATACTGGGAAGCCTTCTGTAACATTTCATTTTGTTTCATCTACTGTTGAGAAAAAGTGTCCAACAAACATTCTGGATCACAGGTCCCTTCGACCACTTACCAGTACTTCAAAGCCATAGTTGCATGGCTTCCAGTGACCCAAACTGAATCACATTCCCCTATCCTGTCAATGAACCCTCTTCACAGACCATTGACTTCACTCTATATGAGAACTGTTTTCCCTTCTGACTCCACCAAAATAATTAAGAAACCTAAAGAGCCCTAGCTGGTTTGGCTCGGTGGATAGAGCCTTGGCCTGTAGACTGTAGGGTCCCAGGTTCAATACTGGTAAAGGACATATGGCCAGGTTGCAGGCTCGATCCCCAGTAGGAGGCATTCAGGAGGCAGCCAATTTATGATTCTCTTTCATCATTGTTGTTTGAGAGAGAAAAATCAATCAGTTGTCTCCTGCACACACTCCAACCAGGGCCAGGGACCTAAACCAGCAACCTAGGCATGTGCCCTGATGGGAACACATCTTTTGGTATATGGATGATGCTCCTACCAAATGAGCCACACCAGCCAGGGCAAGGTACCCTTCAGTTTACAAATTATTAGTCTTATGGTTTAATATAAAGTTATGGTTTAATATAAAAACTACAGTTGAACCTTAAACAACATGAGGTTTAGGGGTGCCAACCTGTCCCAGGCAATCAAAAATCTATGTATAGCTTTTAACTCTCCAAAAACTTAGCTACAGGTGTCCCTCAATATTCATAGGGGATTTGTACCAGAATTCCAAACAGATAACAAAATCCGTGAAAGCTCAAGTCCCTTTTATAAAATGACATAAAAGAATGCATACAGTTTGTCTTCCATATCTACAGATTCTGTGATTAGTTGAATCCGCAGATGGGAAACAAGGGGAATTCAGAAAGCCAACTATAGTTATTGAGGGGAAAAAATCTGCATTATATATAAGTTGACCCCCAAATTTCAAACACATGTCGTTCAAGAGTTTGCTTCTATTAAGGAGAGATTTCAAACCAGTAACTTTTAAAATCTCTTTTTATACATACGGAAAGGGCTGGGAAAGCGTGCTCATCTCGGTTCTGAATCTCATAAAGTAATCGAGATTCTTCTATAGCTTGCTTCTCTCTGCGCTCTTCTGGGGAGAGGCCAAAATAATTAGATTCTCGACTGGCGTGCTCAAAATCCTCAACTCTCTCACGATCAGGTTTTCTGTTAAATAAAACATTGTCACGAAAAAAAAAAGATAAATGTATTGACCACCTAAAATAAAATAACCTATTTCGTCAGTATAAATATTTAATTTAACTACACAGTGACTATAGAACTTTTGGCAACCTGAATAAATGTTTACCAAACGCAATCTCCTATAGCATCATGCACGCTACATAACAGAATCAAGAAGACAAACTTATAATAGGGAGAGACAGAAAAAAGAAAAAAAGAAAATAACAGACATATAGACCAATAGAACGGAACAGAGAACGCAGAAATCAACCTAAGCCATTATGCTCAATTAATATTTGATAAAGGAGGCAAGAGCATACAATGGAGTCAAGGCAGTCTCTTCAATAAATAGCGCTGGGAAATTTGGTCAAGATACATGCAAAAAAATGAAACCAGATCACCAACTTACACCATACACAAAAACAAACTCAAAATGGCTGAAAGACTTAAATGTACGACAGAAAATCATGAAAGTCCTACAAGAATCCATAAGCAGCAAAACAGCAGACATATGTCAGTAATACCTTTACAAACATAGATCCTAGGGCAATGGAAACTAAGGAGAAAATAAACAAAATAAAAAGCTTCTGCACAACTAAAGAAACCATCAGCAGAACAACAAGAAAGCCCACTGCATGGAAGAACATATTTACAAACACTATTTCAGATACAAGTTTAATCTCCAAAATTTACAGAGAACTCATATAACTTAACAAAAGGAAGATAAACGATCCAATCAAAAAATGGGCAAAAGATGTAAATAGATACTTTTCAAAAGAGGACATACAGAAGGCCCAGAGACATATGAAAACATGCTCATAGTCACTAATCATCCGAGAGTTGAAAACCAAAACGAGATACCGCCGAAACCAGTTTGGTCCCAGGTTCAATTCCACTCAAGGGCATGTAACTTGGTTGCGGACACATCCCCAGTAGGGAGTGTGCAAGAGGCAGCTGATGGATGTTTCCCTCTCATCGATGTTTCTAACTCTCTATCCCTCTCTCTTCCTCTCTGTAAAAACTCAATAATATATTTAAAAAAAAAAAAAAAAAAAGATACCCTCTCATACCTGTTAGAATGGCTATCATCAACAAATCAACAAATACAAGTGCTGGGGAGGATGTGGAGAAAAAGGAACCCTTGTGCACTCTGGTAGGAATGCAGACTGGTGCAGCTGCTGTGGAAAACAGTATGGAGTTTCCTCAAAAAGTTAAAAATGGAACTCCCATTTAACCCAGTAATGCTACTTCTAGGAATATATCCCAAAAAATCAGAAACACCAATCAGAAAGGATATATGCAGCCCTATGTTCATAGCAGCACAATTTACCACAGCTAAGATTTGGAAACAGCCTAAGTGCCCATCAGCAGATGAGTATATTAAAAAACTGGTACATCTACACAATGGAATACTATGCCATTATAAAAGAAGAAGGAACTTTTGCCATTTGCAACAACAATGATGAAACTAGAGAGCATTTTGTTAAGAGAAATAAGCCAGTTGAAGAAAGATAAATATCACATGATCTAACTCGTGTGGGATATAATGATCAACATAATTTCATGAACAATAATAGATCCAGAGATAAATAGTAGAGGGGAAGGGTGTTAGAGAGCAACCAAAGGACTTGTATGCATGCATATTAGCATAACCAATGGACACAGACACTGGGGCAGTGGGGGCCTGCCTGGGTGGGAATGGCAGGGGGCTGGGTGAGGGGGAGTTAACTGGGGAAAAGGGAGACATGTAAAACTTTAGACAATAAAAAATAAATAAATAAATAAAATAAAGATGACTTACTCTGCAGTTACTTTTATTTCTTTAAAGAGAACTATGAAGAACTGAAATTCTCACATAGTATTTTATCAATGATACTTTTAATATTATTCTGTAACTAAAAGCATGAAATGTGGCAAATAAAAGAAATGCCCCTCCCTTACCTTATGATCTGTGAGGGTGTCCTGCTAAGATTCTTGTGCTCACTGGAGGGTTTCTGAGATGGTGACCCGGCAGAATGACTAGAGAATGCATGCTGTCTTACTCCTGAAGGGTGCTGGAGTCGAGGAGGTAGTGCTGATGGAGCTTTTACCGGCTTGCTTGAATTCTTTGGCCCTCTGTAATCTGTATCTGTGACAAGAATCCAAAAATACCCCATAATTTCCTGTAATCAACAACGCCATGGATCTTTACCCCTCCCCCTAAAGAAGAATAACTTGATGTGCGCTTACCAGAATGGGAATTTTGTCCAGAAGGGGAAGGTTTTTTCATCTTCTTCCCTGACACTGTGTTCCAGCTTTCTGGGGGAGGTGGTTTGAGGGTCTTCGGTGAGTGCCTTCAAAAGGAAGGAAAAGACATGTAATAAGTTAAAGTGCTCATAGCAATGATATCTACTTAAATATTCAGCAGAGCAATTTTATTTATAACTTATGTAAGAATTTCCAGCTTTTGTCCTTATATTAAAAATGAAGTACAAACAAAGCCATTTAGCAACCCAGATATAATTCTAATAAATAAAAGATAACATAAATCAAAAGTGTGTTTTCAAACCCAAAAATACCAGAAGACTAAATGGCCTTAAATCACAATCAAAGCAAAAGATACGAGGAATGATTGCTATTCGTTAGATGTGAAAATGGTACTGTCATTCAGGTGGGGAGAGGCACAAGCCCTTACTGTGCTAGAAACACATAAAAGCACCTACATGTCTATGAGAAATGGTATAATGTCCGGATTTTTTAAATTATTCCAACTCCATTTATAAAAAAGGGTTAGGGAGGATATATTAGAAAAGGTTGCTAAATGCGGTTAACTGATGAACCAGAATGGCGGTATATTAGGGTTTTCTGCACTATGCTCCTGACATTTATGGGTGATTGAAATTTTCCATAGTACAGTTTAGGTGTGACTTACTAGCTTTATCTCTAGTAAGGGCAGCAGCAACTAAAATAAAAGGTATTCTAAAGTAACACTGTAAATCTACCATAAAATTTTACTCCATCTGACATTTATTTAAAATTAATTACATGCAATGCAGTACCAAATAACATTAGGAATGGATATGGTCCCTGTCCTCCAAAGCTCGCACTTTATAGTTGTAATATAGTCAATTTCCCAAAATGCCTTTGTGAAGAATGGCACATTTTAAATAGTAACCGACAAAATTAGTTTTTATTTTAAACTATATCATCATGCAAAACATTGAATTTAAACTATTTTTCAAAAGCTCTAACAAATATTTCTACTCATAGGCAACACCTTTAAGTGAATTTACAAATACACAAAGCCATTTTGAAATGCCCGTGATTACATTACGCAAGTGAAAAAGACAGTAAATGCCTTATTTGAAGAGCAATACATACTTCCTTCCAACTTCTTCAACCAAAACTGGTCCGTTCTCAGAATGAACCCCTTGAAGGTCTGTATTAGAAAATTTTCCATTGTGATCCAACCTAACCTGCTGAACAATTCCAAAAAGATCAGTCACCTGCTTACTTGCATTAATGATCAGTTTTTAAAATTTATTTTGTTTCCAATTAAAGAGAAAATGAAAAGTATTATTGTTAAACACAAAACTAATTTCAAAACAGTATACAATATCTGTTTCTCTGACCTCCCAGACTTACGTACCTCTCCTAAAATGCTTTTGTGTTTATCCTTCCAAAATTGTTCTAAATTATTTCCTTAATAGTTCAAATAGTAGCAGCACCATCTACTAAGGCTCCTAACAAGAGAGGTATCTTGTCCCAGTCCTGAAGTAGGATTGTGGCACAACACAACCAGGATTCCAGGCCTGGCATTTCTACTTACTGGCAATATGACCTTGGGCAAGTTACTTCTCACACTCATGTCTTCATATGCAAAATAAGGCTAATAATAGTACCAAAGTCATAGGACTGATGGAGATGGAATGAGGTATGTATCATATACGTGAAGGACGTGACAGTATTATTATAATTACTGTGTGTAACCGTGACCTTTCTCCTCCCTAAAAATAGATCCGTTATCTCTTCTCTAACATACTACTGGTATTTTCCAAGAGTAAACTGTGACAGGAAAGTAAGCCTTGAGGTATTTCTATAGTCAATGCACAATGAACTACACCAGGAGCACTAAGAGCCCATCCATGTTGCATGGCTTTGAGTACTGTCGTACTTTTATTAGTAGACAAAGTCCTCGAGTTGAGGTTTCATTCTTCACAAATCAAAATAAGATAGTTTGCCTTCCTCTCTTCGAGTTTATCAAAAAGATTTTTCTGAAGTTTTTTACCAAAAGTTAAAACTGTATTTTACATGCATGTCTTTGACTTCTAGCAGTTTACACAATAAAGTTTCAAGTGAAAGTTAAGTAGTAGAATTAGAAACAAAATACTCTAAAACAGAAAAAATTAAAACAAGTATCTGCTTTATGAACTACTTTATTAATGACAAAAGCAACTGCAACTTCAAAGAAGATATGCTTGATTTAAAATAATGAGTAGCTAAACTTCAGTGATGCAGCGTAATAAGACAAGCAATCTTCTCTTCTCTGTTGAGGGGTAGGGAAGGAGGGGAACCCTAAGCCTAGGCTTTATTCTCCTCTTTATTCCCTTCAAAGACCCCACAATTCTGTTCTATAATTAGAGCACAATTTTAAAATCTCATAAGGAAGAACCTAAATGAATTACATCCTCTTCTTCCTTTCCTTTCAAATATCCCAGAACCAGAACACTATGAAAAGTGCTCAAAAGTACACAGACACAATCCTGGTCAATCAGATACTTTTCACAAACCACTTTGTAACAAAGGAAATGAGTGTTTCCCCCCACAAGTCAAAAAGAATTGTTTGTCAATGGCTATGTAAGATAGTTTTGAAAAGGCAACACTTTTTTCCTTTTAATCCTCATCTTAAGATATGTTTTTATTGATTTCAGAGAAAGAAAATAAGGAGGTGGGAAAAGAGGGAGGGAGGAAGAAAGAGAGGGAGAAAGGGAGGAAGGGAGAAAGGGAGGGAGGGAGAAACATCAGTGTGAGAGAGAAACATTGATTGTTGACTCTCATACATGCCCCACCAGAGATCAAACCCACAAACTAGGTATAAGACCTGACCAGGAATCAAACCCAAACTTTTTGGTGTACAGGATGGCGCTCCAACCAACTGAGCCACCTGGCCAGGGCAAAAGGCAACATTTTTTGATGGAAGCCATTTTGATGAAAAATATCTTCCAACTAATTTTTGTGTATGTGAATTGCTCTTATTTTGGAAATAGTCAATTTTTATCATAAACAACAGAAAAGGGACCTTTGAAAATTACCTTTTCCAGAATTTCTCTAGCCTTGGCATTTTTGACACTTTGGACCCGATAATTCCTTGTCATGGGGAGTGGGAAAAGGTGTCCTGTACACTGTGGAATATTTGGTAGCATCCCTGGCCTTTATCCACTGGATGTGAATACCATCTTCCCAGTTAGAAAACAAAAAAATGTTTGCAGACATTGCTCAGCAGGGAGTGAGGGAATACAAAATCAATTCCAAATTAAGAAACACTGATGTGTCCTTGCCAGTGTTACTTAGTGGTTAGAGCATAGCCCTGCATACCAAAGGGTCTCGGATTCAATTCTCAGTCAAGGGCATGTACCTAGGTTGCAGGTTCGCTCCCCATCCCCAGTCAGGGAGCATTTGGGAAGCAATCGATGTGTCTTTCTCATTGATACCTCTCTCTCTCTCTCTCTCTCTCTCTCTCTCTCTCTCTCTCTCTCTCTCTCCCTCCCTCCCTCCCTCCCTCCCTCCTCCTCCTCCTCCCTTCTACTCTCTCTTTGAAGAGCAAGGGGGAAAATATCTTGGGTAAGGATTAAGAAAAAATAAACACTGATCTAATCCCCAACTTTCCCCTTTAAAAATCAGCTACTTAAGTCCAGAGCAGTAGTTTATTCAAAGTAAATGAAAATTTCTTATTATCAGTCCACTTTCCTTTCTTAATTCAACAGAAAACATTATACACCACTTGGATGGCTTGGCTCAGTGGTTCAGCATCAACCTATAAACCATGAAGTCATGGTTCGATTCCCAGTGAGGGTACATGCCCGGGTTGCAGGCTCAATCTCCCCAGAGTGGGGCATGCAGGAGGCAGCCAATCAATGATCCTCTCTCATCATTGACGTTTCTCTCTCTCCCACTCCCTTCCTCTTTGAAATCAATAAAAAGATATATCTTTTTTATTATTTTTTATTTTTCTAAAATATATTTTATTTATTTTTTATAGGGAGGAAGAGAGAGGGATAGAGAGTTAGAAACATCAACAAGAGAGAATCATCGATCAGCTGCCTCTTGCACACCCCCTGCTGGGGATGTGCTCCCAAGGTACATGCCCTTGACTGGAATTGAACCTGAGACCTTTCAGTCTGCAGGCCGACACTATCCACTGAGCCAAACCAGTTTCAGCTCTTTTTTAAAAAACAAACAAATAAACAAACAAACAAAAACATTGTGTACCTTTCAATCTTCCAAATTAGCTTTTATAAGCAAAACAAATGACCTATAATATCAAGCTTGAACCAATTATAAAATACTTGCTAACTGTAATGAAAATATCTAAAAATCTAAAATACTACTATTACTTCTTCAAAGCAAGCAATATCAAAACTTAGATTATTTTTTTAAAGATCATCTGACAAGATACCATGGTTTTAGATACATACAATTTTGGTAATGTATTCAAATGAATAAAAATGCTAAGTATTTAAAACCATGAAAATGTAGACATAAAAAAATATATTCTAAAATTCCAAATTAACAACACATTCAAACTTATGTTTACTCAGTTCCTAATATAATAAGATTTCAGGTAAGATCTTTTCTTCTATATAATCACTTACTTGGCATTTATCCCCAACTTCATACTGTAAGCCAGCAGCAATGGAATAATCACGTTTCTGTTGAGCTGTAAATAATATCAAAAGAATATCAAGTTGACTTAATTATTTTTACGTGCCACAAAACAAATTCATGGAAAATGCAGATTTTTAAACTCACCTTGTTTAGATTTGAGCCAGAGTTCATATTCCACATTTCTATAAACTGCTGGACTGAGTGACTGAAGAACCTTTCTAGACAAAGGAAGGCTGTGGGAGTTCCCAGTGTTTTTCAGGTGCTAAATAAACAAAGTCACGATTAAAAAAAAACAAAACGATTTTGTATGACCTATGTATAAGAAAAAAAAATCAAAAGAAAACTTCAAAAATTACTAAGTTGCTGAAAAATTTACTAGATGTGCCTGACTACTGAAAATGTACCAGAAAGAGAAAAAAAATTAAGACTACACTTTCATAAGCTCTTATATTAAAGAACAAGACCTTTAGAAAAAATACCTGATCACTTGACAGCGCTTTAAATCCATTTACATCATTAGCAGTGGTAGTTTTTCTCCTATAAAGGGAAAAAAACTATAATTAGTACAATATGTGTTCACATGCAATTAATTTATTCTAACTTCACATAAAAATATCAGAAGCCAGAGTTATATTCCACAAAGTCAAAGCTATATTCCAATGAGCCCTTACAAATTTCAATAAACTGTGCAAGTAGCCCTAATCAGTTTGGCTCAGTGGATAGAGCATCAGCCTGTGGACTAAAGTAGTGGTCGCCAATCTCTCAGATCTCACAGACCTCCGTGGACCACTGGTTGGCAACTGCTGGACTAAAGGGTCCTGGGTTCAATTCCAGTCAAGATCATGTACCTCAGTTACAGACTTGAACCCTGGCCTTGGTCAGGACACATGCGGAAGGCAACCAATCTACCTATTTGTTTCTCTCACATGGATGTTTCTCTCTGTCTCTTCCCTTCTCTTCCACTCTCTCTAAAAATCAATGAAAAAAGTCCTTGGGTGAAGATTTAAAAATATATAAACAATAAAGTGTGTGTGTGTGTGTGACTTATAAAATATTAAGTCAAAAACTTATATCAGTAATTCTTACTGGCTCAATAAAACAAACAAATAAACTGAAATTCAGGTAAGTAGAATAATTGGGTTTATAAAACATTCAATGTAAAAATTTTTCCTTTAAATACATAGATGATGATCCATTAAACAAAATATTCCACTACAAAAAGACGTACCATCTAGTGATAATGAATGCAAACCATATTCACTATGCTAATGCTAAAAAAGTGCTATTGGGGGTGTTAGGAAAAAAATCATAGTGTTGAGCCATAGGCTTAAATAATAAAAAGTAGGATGAGGAAAGAACTTGTTGAGATGTCTTTTTGAATAAGTAATTAAAGGTGATGAGATAGCAAACCATATGGCTACTCAGTATTCCAGCAGGAAAAAACAGAAATCAAGTGCAAAGATCCTGGTGTGGACAAGAGGCTGGCAAGGCTGGAACAGAGGGATGGCAAACAGAGTGGGAGATGAGGTGAGGAGCCATCTATAGTACTCTTCTGTCCTACACTTCTTAATCAATCAATTTCTAGTCTTCAGGACAATTTCCCAAGTCTACACCCTTAAATGCAACAATCTTTAAGAGACTCCAAGTAGCTAGTGTCTAGGTTTAAAAGAAAGCACCCATAATTTCCAGTACTTCAGCACTGGCCAATGTGAATGTGAAAAGAATACAGGCACGAGAGTAAACAACATCCCTAGTCTTTCCCCCTTGCTATCACATTATGCCTACCTATCATACCATGGTTGTGTAGCACTCTTCCCTGCTTGAAGCCTTGTCTTCCCTAAGCCAAATATGACACAAAAATCTATAATAATGCAAAAAGTTAACGAGAAAGGCTCGCATGTTCCAAGGGCTACAACAGTAAAGTATAAAAAGAAAAACAGCATTATAATGAGCACACCATCCCTAATTAACTTTCTACTATGTTCAATGACATATCTTAATCAGAGAGGTGCTAGAGAAAACCATGGAGCAAAAATTTTACATGGGCAAAGTTAGTCCATTCTAGCATTAAATTTATAATAGATCCAGATTCTAACCTAACTGTTTCTTTCTTATAAACAAATGGTAGACAATTTTTCAAACAGGATCAGGAAAACTTAATTTAAGACATGCCTAAAATTACAAATGAAAATATATTTAAGTACTATTTAATAAAGAATTAAGACATCAATTTCATTTCTTTCTCTAGTTTCATAGTATGTAACACCAATAGGATACTTTCCTATTTAAGATACAACAGCAATAATATAGTTTAACTTCATTAGGAATGGAATATGATTAATTGCTATAAAATATCCTATCCTATATAATAAAACCCTAATATGCAAATCAACCTAACAGCGGAACAACCTATCGCTACGACATGCACAGACCACCAGGGGGCAGATGCTCAACGCAGGAGCTGCCACCTGGGCGGCACCAGGCCACCAGCCAACGTGGGTGCCAGCAGGGACCCCGATCCCCCCACCCACCTATCGTCCCACAGATGGGCCCTGATCACCAGCTCGACCTAGAGACCCTACCTATGCACGAATTTCACGAACTGGGACTCTAGTATTTTTTAAATATTATTGATAAAAACTAATATGTTGGGCACTTTATCTAGGAACTAGCTTATGCACTTTATATTTCATTTAATTATTATAAACTGGAGGCCTGATGCATGAAATTCATGTGTAAGTAGAAGCCCTAGGCCTGCCCGATCTATGGGGCAACCAGTGGGGCAATCGGGCCCCCCCCCCCCCCCCGCACCTGTCTTGACTGGCCTGGGGCCTGCATTGAGCATCTGCCCCCTCATGATCAGTGAGCATCATAGCGACTGGTCGTTCTGTCATTCGGTGGAATTGCATATTAAGCCTTTATTATATAGGAGGATTCTGCCCTTTGAGAAACTACTAATATATCTCATTTTACAGATGCAGAATTGAGGCTTCTTAAGTGAATTTAAGTAACTTGCCCCAAGTATAGTAAGTTGGAAGGAAGCCAGTATTGAAACAAGGTTTGGAAGTCTACAGCCCATGCTCTTGTCCACCAGTTTACATGTCCTGTGTGGGGGTAGGGGATGAGGGGGAATATCCTAGACTCGGAGTTAAAAGGTTCTTATTCACAACCTAAACAAAGGCATTATCCAGAGCTGTTCCCACACTATAACCCTAATTTGGAATTTTTATTATCTAAAAAAGAAAAAAAGGTGGCATTATTTAAAAAAAATAAAGGCAGTCAAGGAAATCAAAATGGCCATTTTTTTAGCACTGAATACGCAAACAACTGACAGGTTAACCTTAAAATTTTATAATGCGACAGATATAGGTAGACCAAATCTATTCCACATATACACATACAGATTACATAGAACTAGATGCTTTCTAACCAAAATATAAGCTTTATGAATTAAAATTAGTGGCAGACATAAAGAACCTTCTATTGCGGATTGCTATATTTTAGGAATAGCATAATATTTCAGTGTCAGGTAACTCCTTTCAGAATCATTTACTCAACTGTTTCTTTGTACAGCACTATAAAGATATTTTAGAATTTATTTTTACCTGCAACTATCATCCTCTGAATCCGATATTTCACTGTGGCTTTCACCAGCTACTTCAGCAGTGTTGAGTCCCATCAAAATTTTACTAACATCAGTTTTAAATACCTTCTCATACAGTAATTCATAAAGGAGAGCTGTAATTAACAAGAGAGATGTTATGAAACATTAACTAATTTTATGTTCTAATATAAAATTGAGTATCTACTGCCCAGGCTTCTAAAATCTTAACTAGACACCTGCAACATCTATGGTCAAATTTAATCAGAAAGTTGCCTACATGGAGAGCAACCAGAATTTGTGTGTAAATCAGTTTAAAACCATTACATTAAGATATCTGCCATTTTTTAAAAAATATCAACACAAAAAAATATCACAGCTCTGAAACAAGTATGATGACAATAAGTAAACATGCATATTGAGCAATTATTACACTCCATGCGGTAAGCCTTTACATTATCTCCATATTTAATCCCAGCACAGTGGTATAATTATTCTGTACAGATGAGGAAACAGAATTATAGATAGCATACAACATGCCCAATCTTAAGAGACTTGGATAGAAAACATTAAGAAACATTAAGACTGCTTGCCCTAACCAGTTTGGCTCAATGGATACAGTGCTGGCCCACGAACTGTAGGATCCCTCCCAAGTTTGATTCCGGTCAAGGGCATGTATGTACCCGGGTTGCAAGCTCGAACCCTGGCTCCCGGCCGGGAGCAGGGAGTGTGCGGGAGGCAACCAATTGATGTGTCTCTCACATCAGATGTTTCTCTGTGTCTCCCCCTTCCTTCTACTCTCTCTAAAAATCAACAGAAAAATATCCTCAGGTGAGGATTAATAAATGAAACAACAAAACAATTTTTTTAAAAAAAGACTGCTATGAAGAAGGTAATTTCCTATAAAAGAATAAAAAGAAAGTGTTATAAAATGTATTCTCAGCCCAGCAAAAGTGGCTCAGGGATTGAACATCAACCTATGAACCTATGAGTGAACTATGGTTCGATTCCCAGTCAAGGGCATGTACCTGGGTTGCAGCTTTGATACCAGGTCAGGGAGGCAACCAATCAATGTGTTTTTTTCATATCAGTGTTTCTCTCTCTGTCTCTTCTACCTTCCCTTTCACTTTCTCAACCTCATGTGAGCATTTAAAAAAAAAAAAAAAAAAAAAGAGGAAAAGCTGTTGCAGGCCCAACACCACTGCTTAGTACGAGTGATGTGCATTTAGTACAGACAAAGGAAGGAACTAATAGAGCAGTAATTCTCAATTGGGATGGAACTGTACCCTTCCAGGAAATATGTGACAAAATATAGTGACATTTTTGGTTGTTACAATGGGAGAGAGATCTACACAGCAGATCCTAGGTTTACTACCAAACATCCTACAATGTACAGAACAGCCCCCACAACAAGAATGACCTGGTCCAAAATGTCAATAGTGCCAAGGTTGAGAAACCCTGCTCTAGAGCCAAATATAATCAAATGTTTGATTTGCTCGGCCATTTAAATTTTCAAGCCATATACTATCAGCTTTTAAAATACATACAAAACCTTATTATTGATCTTATTTACCGCAGAAAATAAATAATGTTGCATTTATAAGTCAAACTCTAGCTACTAGATCTTTTTTTTATATACAGTATTAATATTTTTGGTAACCTAAGGTTTCTAGAAATATTATTTTATACAACAGAACAGAGTGTATGTGCCCTGACTTTTGTGCATTAAGACTGTGTATCTTAGGAATATAATTTCCTATACAAACACAAGGGTGAAACTCACACTGACACATAGCAGAGCTCTCTTTATATTTTATGGGATAGACAATATCATAGTGATTTCCATTCGAAAAACACAGTAATACCTGAAAGGAAAAAATAAAAGACACTTTTCAGTACTTCATATTTGATATTTACCTAGCAACTTACTATCTCCAATATTTCTCAATCACTAGTAAATAATTTTCAAACAGAAAATTAGTATTTTAGAAGCAATTTAAAGCTCCAAAGTAGTCAACTATGGTATATCTACATGCTGAAATGTTACACAGCTATTAAATCAAAAAGTTCTTAATGACTTGGGGAATGCTTATGGATAAAAAATAAATACATTGCCCTAGCTGGTTTGGCTCAGTTGATAGAACATCGGCCTGATTTTTCTGTTAAAAAATCAACTGTATTTCCTAAATAGAAGGGTCCCAGGTTCGATTCCAGTCAAGGGCACATGCCCGGGTTGTAGGTTCGATCCCTAGTAGGGGGGGTGCAGAAGGCAGCCAATCAATGATTCTGTCTCATCATTGATGTTTCTCTCTCTCTCCCTCTCCCTTACTCTCTGAAATCAATAAAAATACATATATTTTTTTTTTTAAAAAAAACAGTATGATTTCAGCTACTAAAGAAACAAGATGTAGAGACCGTAAGAAAATATTCCAAAATGTTATTAATACTTACCTCTAAGAGGCAGAATCAAAAATAACATTTTTCTGCTTCTAACAGTTAAAGTACAGTTAACCCTTGGCCAATGTGGGGGTTAGAGGTGCCAACTCCTTCGCATTCGAAAATCCAAATATAACTTTCGAATCCCCCAAAACGTATCTACAGTCTTCCCTAGGTATCTGCAGGGTATGGTTCCAGGACACACTAACCCCCATACCAAAATCCACGAATAGTCAAGTCCCTTATATCAAATGGTGTAGAACAATGCATATAATTGGCCTTCCCCATCTGCAGATTCCCAACTTCTAATCTCAAATCGGAAAATACTGTTTTCAATCTGCTCTTGATTGAATCCGGACACTTTGGGATACAGAAGACAAACTATATATTCATTGAAAAAAATCCACATATAAGTTCAAACTCATGTTGTTAAAAAATCAACTGTATTGCAGAAACCGGTTTGGCTCAATGGATAGAGTGTCGACTTGGGGACTGAAGGGTCCCGGGTTCGATTCCAGTCAAGGGCATGTACCTTGGTTGTGGGCATATCCCCAGTGGGGGGTGTGCAAGAGGCAGCTGATCGATGACTCTCTCTCATCAATGTTTCTAACTCTCTATCTCTCTCCCTTCCTCTCTGTACAAAATCAATAAAATATATATTTTTTAAAATCAACTGTATTTCCTAAATAGTTAATTACTTATTCAAAGAGAAATGCACACTTATTTTATTTAGACTACGTATGTCATATTCCATTAAGTGTACTGGAAAAGGCCAGATCCAGAGACAAGCATGTTAGGAACCTCTAAGTCCTTATTAAGGTAGTATTTCACTCAATATCCCTCCCCCTTACCACCATTAGCATAATGACAAAGATACTTCAACTTGGCCTGGATGGCTCCAAAACAACTAATTATAATAAAACAAAGTATCCTTATAATGAATCAGCTGCAATTTTTTTCCTTCTAGAGTATATATTTTTCTAATTGTTTCTGCTTTGAACAGATAACAACTTAGTCAACAAATTATCTTTATAATGGGAAATATGATTACCAAAGTATTTCTGGATGTAATGGAAGAACCTATTTTTACAAGTTATTTTACTATTTAATGTTCATAAACACTAGTATCTCAACTTTTTTCCTCTAGTGATAGGGTTCAACATGGTGATTTGTCAGGAAAAACTAATACAAAGTAATATGGCTCAATGATGATTAACAGGGGCTACACTATATAACTCAGTATTAGCCTTCATGTACAAATATTTCCAAAACCACCTTAAAATTATAGCTTAGGAGGTCAAGGTGGCAACTGAGTAGTTCTTTCACTTAAAGCTTTTAAAAACATTGAAAAAATTCTTACCTTTTCAGGAAAATTATTTTCAGTTACTTGTGAAGGAGAAACATTTGGTTCCCGATAAATTACAAAATCTTTCCTGAAAGTAACATTTTTAGAAATTACTTCTGATGGTATGTTTAGACACTGAAGATATAGCAGTAAACATAAGATAGTAATAGAATACTAAGCTGTAAAATACCTATATAAGAGCATCTTCTAAAAAAAAAAAAAATTTCAAATATAGCTTGTATATGTCTGACTTCATATATAATTCTTAAAGGAAACCTCAAATACAGAGGTTGTGAAGAGGAAATGTACAAAGACATTTTGAAAAGAAAATATAGCCGAGACCAGTATGGCTCAATGGATAGAGCATCGGCTTGGGGACTGAAGGGTCCCGAGTTCGATTCCGGTCAAGGGCATGTACCTTGGTTGCGGGCATATCCCCAGTGGGGGGTGTGCAAGAGGCGGCTGATCGATGACTCTCTCTCATCAATGTTTCTAGCTCTCTATCTTTCTCCCTTCCTCTCTGTACAAAATCAATAAAATATATTAAAAAAAAAAAAAAAGAAAATATAAAGCATTCACCTGCTCCTCTACTAGGCAATAGTAGTAAAATTGGTAATTGACAGAGGTGTTTTGCCTCTTTTCTAATGGCCCTTCAGTGCTACTGGCCATGAGAAAGCAAGAAATCATTTCTCAATAAGGTTGATAAATGGTAACGTTTAGAGGTCTGTAAAATTTTCTGTACTCCTTTCCAAAAATATTTTGAAAATTAAAATTTCTAAACATTGATATATCTAAATGTCAAAATCTAATTCATACAATAAAAAAAACTTAGAAAAGATGCTTCACAACCAAGACATAAAATCACTATTTTCACAATTTTAGTATAATGTAATATATTAATTTTCCACTAACTTTATTTTTGTTGAATTATATTAGTGTTTACCTGTACATAAGAGAAAGGGCACTTATTTCCACCTGTCCAACCCATTCCTGTATTAAAGAAAAAAAAAAAAAGGCCTTTAAATGTCTGACTTTTTACAATATACCTCTAAACCAGCGATTTTCAACCATTGTATTGCAATAATTTTTAAAACATGCAATATTTGACTATTTAATAAGGGCACTGACCTCTTTTCCCTTAGAATGTCAAATAAAAAATGACAACAGTAACCATCAGGTGTAAATGAATCAAAATTATACCTATTTTTTTCTGTCAGATTAGTAAAACATATATTGTTGGTGTGCCGCAGATTTTGAGTAATTAGATTATGAGTCATGAGATAAAAAAGACTGAAAATCGCTGCTCTAAACAACATCTTCATACATACCTTTATACAATATAAAGCTCAGAAAGCTTATTAGTAGTATCATAAATATTATAAAAACATTTACATAAAACAAGTTATATATACTAAAAAGCAGCCCGTATGTTGCAAAAATCCTTAGTAATGGGGTAGAATGACAGGTCCTAGTGGTGTATTAAAACCAAGAAGTGGTATCCTTAAGTTGAGAACTTATCGAATCCAAGGGTTCTGTCCTCTAACCTTGCACCCAGGACAGAGCTTGGCACGTGTTGAAAGTACAAAGAGAGCAGTATCCCAGCAATCCTTTTCAAATGAGGTAGAGATTCTACAATCCTAAAGGAGTCACTTTAAGTCTCTAAGGAGGAAATGGCCAGTATATATAAAATCTTAAAATATTTTCATAAACTCTTAGACAAAGCAATTCAACTTCTATAAACCTACACTACAGAAATGTTTCCTATGTCCACAAACATAAACAAGAATGTTCACTGTAGCTATCTGTAATAGTTTTAAAAAATGTTTGTTAGAGCCCCAAATTTCACTAACAGGTAAGGAATAATTAAATAACTTACACATTTTATCCATACTATATATGAAACATGCAATCATGAAAAAAAAATGAGGTATACCCATGTGAAGTGACTTCGAAAAAAATCACTGACTAGTATAAAAAAATCACTATAAAAGAATCCTATTGTATAAAACAAAAACTTATCCTATCTAATAAAAGAATAATATGCAGATTGACCATCACTCCAACATACAAGATGGCTGCCCCCATGTGGTCAAAGATCCTGCCCCCATGTGCACACAAGAAGGCCACCACTAGATGGCCAGCAAGAGAGGGCAGTTGGGAGGGACCAGGCCGGCAGAGGAGGGAAGTTGGGGGTGAGCGGGCCTCAAGAGAAGGGCAGTTGCGGGGGACTCAGGCCTGCAGTGGAGAGTAATTGGGGGGATCAGACCTGCAGGGGAGAGCAATTAGGAGTGACTAGGCTGGCATGGAAGCAGTTAGACATCAATCAGGCTGGCAGGGGAGTGGTTAGGGGGCGATCAAGCTGGCAAGCAGAAGCAGTTAGGGGCAATGAGGAAGGCAGGCAAGTGAGCAGTTGGGAGCCAGCAGTCCTGGATTGTGAGGGAGATGTCTGACTGCCCATTGAGGCCCGATCCAACCAGGATCTGGTCTAAACGAGCAGCGGGACATCCCTTGAGTGGTCCCAGATCAGAGAAGGTACAGGCTGGGCTGAGGGACAGCCCCATTCCGTGCATGGATTTCGTGCACTGGACCTCTAGTGTGTATAATATGTATGCATACATTCCTTGAGAGGACTGGGAGGATAACATCCTAAATTGACAGTGGAGACAGGGAAAATAAAGGATTTTCATTCTATATTAAATATTTTACCATAAGAATGTTTCTACACTATTTTTGAAATTAATAAAGACTTAATACCAACAGTCACTAAAAATAATGAGCTATGGTACATGAATGCTGCCAACTTTTCTTTGAAAGAAAAGAAATTTGAGGTAAAAGATTTTAGACAATGAACACAGATGAGGATAATAATCTTTTCCCCAGAGATTTTTTATTTTAATAGTTCTTAAAAATTGGTTCTGGTTTTCAAAATGAAATGGATGCCATATATTAAAATTGATTTCTTAAAATAGGCCTCTACCTAACAATGGTTTTTTAATTAGCTGCTGCAAGCAATACCCCTCTGATGTAAACGAAATCTCTCAGATTACAAACAAAAGCGACACCTAATGCAAAATGTGTTACATCACTTTAAAAAATGGAAAATTATTCTATTTGTCTCAACAAAATACTACCTTTCATATAATGAACTATTTTATATTTAATCTTCAGAATAAATTCTGGTGTAGTCTGGTTAAGTAGACAATGGCTATCACAGTATCTTCTCTAACCAGGGTCAAATAAAAATATCTTAAAACCACTGCAATTGGTCTTCTTGCCTCTGATCTCATCTCCCTCAAAACCACCTTTATACAAAATTCTTTCATCCATTCATTCAGTCAATATAAATGTCAGGCACTGTTATCTAGTTCACAGTGGTGAACAAAACACACTCACTCACTTCCTGCCCCAAAAAACTTGCAAGGCTTCCCAATGCCAGATTCCCAGGCCCCAGGCACAGACTTTGATTCAGATCAGGAATAAAGAGGCGGGGACTTGCATCTGCACAACTACCTCAGGTGATTCTGATGCAGATGGTGTGTAACTCACACTGAGATATGCTGGTCTAAAGCATAAGCTTCAACTTGGTGAGCTTAGTTAGCACTGAGGGCTTTCTCATGATCTGACCCATAGCTTGCCTTTTGACTTATTTCTCATTACCTCCTACTTTCAAATGCTCCATGCTCCACAAAACTGGACTGCATTCTGAATCTGCATTGCTCACAATTTTCACTACCTGAAATTGACCTTCACCCCTGGCGTTTCTTATTCAGAATCTATTCAGACTCCAAATGCCAACTCCAACTCTTGGCTTTGCCTCCCCAGCTAGAAACAAAACTCTGAATGCTTATAACATCATTCCTGTTCTTCTTATGGCATATGTACTTTCTCACTTCTGCATCCCCAAGGTGACTGGCAATTCTTGCACCACAGCAAAACTCAAACTAATGTTAGGGAATCAAACTGATATACCAGTTGTTGACCAAACACCCTGATCTCATGTTACTATTCCCTTCCCTCCTACCTGACTCCTCTCCTTAGCTTCATCCTTTGCTAATGTCATTTTAAAATTGACAGTAATTACCTCTGGAGATAACAGAACATTCTACATGACATCCCATGATATTTGGATTTTTTACAGGAGTTTTGTAAGCAGAAAAAAATTTATTTTAACATCAGCATTAACTGAGGAAGTGTGGCTGTTAGACCTGGAAGTGCTGACCTTTTACTCTCAACAGACATTTCCTTCTTCTCAAGCTAATTATGGGAAATAAAATCTCCATAAAAGAACCTATCTTCTCAGTTACCTGAAGAAGTAATCAAATCTTGCCCAGGCCACCAACCCCCATACACCTACCAACATAGCATCATGAAATTCATCAGTAGTTTTATTTTAGCTCTTTTAAACTACAGTCACATGCCATTATAACAAAGATAAAGATACCACAACCCTGTCCTTAGGCAATATCTAGTGCACAGTACAGTACAAAGTTCCAACTGTCTTCCAATTAAATGCTATGTAAAATGTGCACCTAAGAAATGTTTACAAGGAAACAGGGTAACTCACTATAACCCTTCCATACACTATAATATTAATCTTATATATATAATAGATAAAAGACTACTGCATACCTGTGGGTTTTCCAAACGTTTTAAATACTCTTCAAATGATCCTTCTATAAACTGGAAAAGGAAAAAGAAATCTATTAGGAATACATCAAAACAACAGTTAACCTCTCCACTGTGAATTACTGAGTTCTTACATAAACCTTGGATACCTCAGTAACAGTAAAATATATATACACATATATAATCTAATTATGAAAATACATACAAATCATTAAGTGAGGATCATAAACACACACAAAGAACTTAAAGAAGGAAGTTCTGTCAGAAAAGGTTTCCTGGACAGGATGTGAACAGACACAGGGACAAGATGGCATGTGGAAACAGTGAGGACACTGTGTTGGGCAGACAGGAGTGACCTAGTCAGCAAGAACAGGGTACTTTCATGAGGAGAGCAGAGTGAGAGAGAACTCAGACTGAACATCTGTTTATAGACAGTTTGAGCCCAGGCAGGACTTTCAGAAGAGGGAGAGAAGGCAATACAAGGTCACTGCAGGTGACATTATGAACAGAGAAATGATATGGTAAAAGCAGCATTTTAAGGTTAATTTGAAAATGGCCAATACGTAGGGGAGAATAAACAAAGACAGATACATTAGCTAAGACATTGGTTTACTAATACAGATATGAATATTCACTGTTCCTTAAGTCAGTTATACTAAAAACAGAGATGAGAATTAATAATGCTAAAGATATTTTGAAAAATCAGTAAGATATTTTCTAATACACTTTGCTTCATTGTCACCTTAACATAAAAATAAAAGTTTATTCAAGCTATGTGAGCCCTGGTTGGTTTGGCTCAGTGGATAGAGTGTCTGCCTATGGGAATAAAGGGTCCTGGGTTTGATTTCAGTCAAGGGCACATGCCCAGGTTGTGGGCTTGATCCTCAGTTGGGGGTGTGCAGGAGGCAACCGATCCATGATTCTCTCTCATCAATGATATTTCTATCTCTCTCTCCTTCTCCCTTTCTTTCTGAAATCAATAAAATTAAAAAGCTATGTGAGCCCTGGCTGGTGAAGCTCCCGTGCACCAAAAGATTGTAGGTTTAATTCCTTGTCAGGGCACATGTTTCTCTCTCTCTCTCAATCCCTCTCCCTTCCTCTCTAAAAATCAATAACAAACCTAAAAAAAAAAAGCTGTGATAACATTTTTTTTTGTTTTTCTAATGGTCATTATACGAATTTAATCAAGAAAGCCCTAAAACACCATCTGAAACATCAATTTTATTTAAATTACAATTTTACTTAAATTACAGGCTCAGTCAATTTTGCAAAATTAAAAAACATTAAAGTACACTACCTAGTCTATAAAAATCTTTTAAATGCCCACGGATCTTTTTTTAAGACTGAGATTATTTTATAGACAGTATACTGTCAAATTTCCAGACAGTATCTTGAGTTCAACACATTATAACAAAATAGCTAATTATTTTAAATATCCACCAATCAGAGGCTACTGTTTTATATTAGATTATTTATAGACTTAAAACCCCAAAGAACCATTACAGTTGGTAGAGACCCAAGCAGTGTTTTACAAGCCTATCCTATATAATCCTATATAATAAAAAGGTAATATGCAAATTAGCTATCACACCCATTCACAAGATGGCCGTCACAAGATGTCCAGCAGGGGAGAACAGTTGTGGGCAATCAGGCCTGCAGGGGAGGGCAGTTAGGGGGAACCAGGCCAGCAGAGGAGGGCAGTTGGTGGGGGGACCAGGCCGGCAGGGGAGGGCAGTTGGGAGGACAAGGCAGGCAGGGAAGGGCAGTTGAGGGGCGGAGGGGAAACCAGGCCTACAGGGGAGGGCAGTTGGGGGCAACCAGGCCAGCAAGGGAGTGGTTAGGGGATGATCAGGCTGGCAGGCAGTAGCAGTTAGGGGCAAACAGGCAGGCAGGCGATCGGTTGGTAGCCTGTGGTCCCGGATTGTGAGAGGGATGTCCGACTGCGGGGACTGGGCCTAAACAGGCAGTCGGATATCCATGGAGGGGTCCCAGATTGGAGAGGGCGTAGGTTGGGCTGAGGGACACCCCCCCCTTAGGGCAAGAATTTCGTGCACTGGGCCTCTAGTATCCAATATAAGACTCTCCTTTCTAATCAGAAAAGCATCCAGCTAGGCTCTGACTAACATCCTCAGTCACAAGGAATACCCTGCCCACTTCCCATGACAGCCTTTTCCCATTCTGGCCAACAGAAATGGCAAAGTGAAACTTACCCCTTTGGAATTTTCAACTTTTGGTAATAACTTGTAAGATTGCAAGGGTTAAATAAATATATGCAAAGCATTTAAAATAATGCCTGGCACATATTAAGTGCTCAACCAGTGTTAGTAATTTCCATTATTGTCAAGAGAGTTTTACCCTCTGGGGTCAATAATAATGACTAACTCATTTGTAATTTCTTCAAATACTTAAAGACCACTACTCCACTTACCTTTCTCTTCTCTACCACACCCTAATATTCTATGTAGCCTCATTACCAGTTTTCTTTTTGTAAGACAAGTTTTCATATCTCCAGACCAAGTAGGTAATTCTCCTTTCTGAAATGTATTATTGTCCATTTTATAAAATGGCACTCAGGAAAATGTTACAAAGTAATATTTTGCTTGAATATAGGAAAACCAACCCAAGAACATAGCCAAATTGAGGACCACTTATTTATTAGCTCTCATAATTGAGTTATTTGCAAAACACCAACGTTCTTTTAGCAGTCCACAGGGGAGCATATCATTGAAAGTTGTCATATGACTTAATTCTAAGCAAATCTTACAAGGCTCTCAATGTAAAATGAAAATAGGTCACTGTCATATTTTATAACCTATTACATACTACTGAGAAAATTCCAGTAAATTGTTCTACAACATTCTATTAACTATTAATCATATTTACATAATTACAGTATTCTAATATGATTCACAATGAAGCCTGAAAATTAAAAATATATAAATGCCTTCTGATAAAATAAAAGATGTAGTATGAATTCATAGGGGAAATCACAGAAAACTCTATTAACCACAACACTCCCATTTAATCTATGTCATACAAAACTCACTCTTAATATGTAAGGAGCCTGCCCAAGTCATCCTCTGTCCTCCATAGCTGTGTCTTATCTGTCACAGAAGCTTTCTAAAAGCCTGAATAATAAATGAATACCACTAAATGGCAATAAAAACTACCACAAAAAAATATAATTGGATTTAAACTCAATAAAGCAGTTCTTTTTTATAAGGGGGATTTTCATAACCCCCATTAAGATCCATCCTGTGAAATTCCCACTAGACCACTTTTCTAAAGGGTGAACTGTAAAAGCAAGTCGAGATACCATTTCGTTTAAAATTACAAATTACCGCTTCAAATTTCTCTCTGTTCTCTCGAAGATAGTGAATACAGGCCATTCTGACTTCAACATGGCGAGACTGAGAATGCAATACCTAAAAGAAAAAGCAACATACTATTAAGCATTTTGTTAAAATAAGATTTAAATTACAACCTAGACACTCCCAAAAAATCTCACAACCAACAGACACATCATTTGTCTTTCTATAATTTCTAAATCTTTATTCATTCCCATTTCTTTCTCTAATCATAAGGATGACATGACACACACAAATAGCAGTATTTCTTAAAACAGATGCCATTCTACAAAGAGCTTATTATCATTTCTCCTTTAGGTCACTGAAATACTGAAATCATTCCTTAAAGAAAATCTTTGTAAACTTAAGACACTTTCTTCTCTTGGTCAGCCCTCTACTATAAATTGGCTCTTCACAAAGCAGAACTAACAGAATCTCTGCTGTGCACTGCTTAGATCCACCCCAGGCGTTTTAAATTACCTGCCTTATGTAGAAACTAAGTGCTTTCAGAAAAATTAAGATACTCAATTCTTTTTTTTTTTAATATATTTTATTGATTTTCTTACAGAGAGGAAGGGAGAGAGATAGAGAGCTAGAAACATTGATGAGAGAGAAACATCGACCAGCTACCTCTTGCACACCCCCTACTGGGGATGTGCCCGCAACCGATGTACTTGCCCTTGACCGGAATCGAACCTGGGACCTTTCAGTCCGCAGACCGACGCTCTACCACTGAGCCAAACTCAATTCTTAAATCCTTACAGGACTCTTAAAAGAACATCCAAGTGAGCAGCACACAGGATGCAAATATGCTGCTGTGCTGTCATTCCAATAGCCTTGAAACTTGCTCTTATGCCCAAAATATTTTTTAAAATATATTTGTATTGATTTCAGAGAGGAGGGAAGAGAGAAATAGAAACATCAATGACTAGTAAGAATCATTGATTGGCTGCCTCCTGCATGCTCCCTGTTAGGGATCAAGCCACAACTTGGGCATGTGCCCTGAAGAGGAATCAAACCCTGACTTTCTAGTTCATGGGTCAACGTTAACACCTGAACCACACAGGCCAGGCTGCCCAAAATCTTAAAGCACCACCTGAAATAAGCCACACTACAAAATGAACCAAATCCTCTCATTCTGTAGCCTTTGTTCTTAATTAAGCTACTAATTCAACAAAAGGATAATTTATTGGCCTTTTGTCTCTTACTAAAGTTCCAAAGCTTTGGTTTCAAACAAACCATTATCAAGTAAATGCTTAGGACCCTTTGGCTAGCCTCCAATACTTTAACTTCCACACTTAAGATCAATATTATTTTCTATTGCTAGGTGTCTCAAAGATGTTCCTGGTACCCTATAGCACAAGGTGGAGGGAAAAAACAAAACACAAAAACTGACATTTAAAATAACCACATCTCAACTACTCTGGAGGCCACTTGAAAATTTATATTATAAAGTAATTTTAGGAGTTACAACTCCAATATATCTGATAAGGGATTGATATCCAAAATACATAAGAAACTCATAAAACTCAGTAACAAAAAAAATAATAATCCAAAAATATGAGCAGAGGACATGAAAAAAATTTTTTCCAAAGAAGACATACAAATGGCCAACAGACATCACTAATATCAGGGAAATGCAAATCAAAACCACAATGACATAACACTTTACAACAGTCGGAATGGCTATTATAAAAAAAGTCAACAAATAGCATGTGTTGGTGAGAATGTAGAAAAAAGAGAACTCTGGTCTGCAAATTGGTGCAGTCACTATGCAAAACAATAAGGAGACTCTTCAAAAAATAAAACCGGAAATACCATATAACCCAGAAATACACTCCTGGGTATTTATCCAAAGAAAACAAAAACACTAATTAAAAAAGATACATGCATCCCCATATTCACTGCAGCATTATTTACAATAGCCAAGATATGTCTAGGTATCCATAGACAGTTGAATGGATAAAGCTGATATGGTGGGTGTATACATAGACACACAATGGAATATTGTGCAGCAATAAAAAAGAACAAAATCCTGCCATATGTGACAACATGAATGGACACCTACAGAGTATTTATGCTAAGTAAAATAACTCAAAGCCAAATACTATATAGTAATTTGACTCATCCTATCTAATAACGAGAAGATATGCTAATTGACGCTCACATTGTCACAAAGATGGCAGCACCCACAGCCAATCACATTGTCACAAAGATGGCAGCACCCACAGCCAATAAGGGGGAATATGCTAAGTGACTGTCACACCCTCAAAGATGGCGGCACCCAGTCCCCTCAGTCTCTCATTTGCCCAGGGCCAGCCCGAGTTGCAGGCAAGCCTCAGATGTTTGCTGCCCAGCCACCCAGGGCCAGCCCAAGGAACAACCAAACAACCAAACAAGTAGGCTGCAGGGGCAACCAGGCCAGCAAAAGGGTTAGTGAGGTATGACTAAACAACTGAACAGCAGGCTGTGTAGGGTGACCAGGCCAGCAGGAGGGACGTGAGGGGCAACCAGGCAGGCGAGGGGGCAGATAGGAGTGACCAGGCCGGCAGGGGGGCCAGTAAGAGGTGACCAGACCGGTGAGGGGTAGGCGACAGTTGGGGGCGACCAAGTTGGCACGGGGGGGGGGGGGGGGGCAGTAAGGGGTGACTAGGCCAGTAGGGGTGGGGGACAGTTAGGGGTGACCAGACTGGGGGGGGGGGGGGCAGTTAGGAGCCAACAGGCCAGCAGGGAGGGGGCTGATGGGGGAGACCTGGCTGACAGCGGGGGACAGTTAGGGGCAACCAGGCAAGCAGGCAGGTGAGTGATTAGGAGCCAGCTGTCCAGGACTGTGAAAGGGATGTCCGACTGATGGTCTAGCCCGGCAGTCAGACATCCAGAGGGGTAGTGGATTAGAGAGGGTGCAGGCTGGGCTGACACCACCCCACCCCCCCACCCCCCCACCCGTGCATGAATTTCATGTACCAGGCCTTTAGCAAATGGAATAAAAAAAAAAAAAGAACAAAACAGACTCATATAAAGAGAGACCAAAGGGATGGTTTACAGAGGGGAAAGAGATGGGAAATTGGGTGATAAGGGTGAAGAGAAATATAGTCAGCAATATTGTGGTAACTTTACATGGTGACAGATATCAGAATTAGTGTGGTGATCACACTATCTTACCTAATAAAAGAGTGATATGCAAATTAACCATCACTCCACTACACACACCAGCCACGCACACCAGCCAATCAGGGTGAGTATGCAAATTAATCACAACCAAGATGGCTGCAGCCACTGAGCCAATAGGAGGGAGATTTGGGTTTCCCTGGCGATAGAGGAAGCCAAGCTTTCCACAAACGCTGGTGGGCCCAGGCCTCCACACAAGGGTACAAAGTTTCAATTATAGACGATAAATTCCAACAGAAATGGCGGCAGCCACAGAGGTGGAAGAGCAGGAGACTAGGGTTGCCCCTGGCAATAGAAGTCAAATTTCTGCAGCCCTGGCCAGACCAGGCCTCTGCTTAAAGCTATCAAGTTTCAATAATAGAAGTTACATTAATTCCAACAGAAATGGTGGCAGCTCGAGCAAGAGGCTTGGCTCTGCTCAAGGTTACAAAGTTTTAATTGTAGAAGATAAATCCCAGGTACCACTTGAGTTGTAGGAAGGGGTTGGAGGGGGGGGGAGCGTGGCTAGCCTGCAAACTGCCATAGGCTCCTTGCCCAAGCTGCCCCACACCCCAAGAAAACCCCACCCTGATCTGGACACCCTTCAGGGCAAACCAGCTGGACCCCACCCACGCACCTCTATCCTATCTAATAAAAGAGTAATATGCAGATTGAACATCACTCCAACACACAAAAGATGGCTGCCCCCATGTGGTCAAAGATCCTGCCCCCATGTGGACACAAGATGGCTACCACAAGATGGCCAGCAGGGGAGGGAAGTTGAGAGACCAGGCCAGCAGGGGAGGGCAGTTAGGGGTGACTGGGCCTGCAGGGAAGGGCAATTGCAGGGGACCCAGGCCTGCAAGGAAGAGCAGTTTTGGGGACCTGGCCTGCAGGGGAGGGCAGTTAGGGGCAATCAGGCTGCCAGGGGGGCAGTAAGGCATCAATCAGGCTGACAAGGAAAGTGGTTAGGGGTTAATCAGGTTGGCAGGCAGAAGCAGTTAGGGGCAATCAGGAAAGCAGGCAGGCAAACAGTTGGGAGCCAGCAGTCCTAGATTGTGAGAGGAATGTCCAACTGTCCATTTAGGCCCAATCCCACATCCCCCAAGGGGTCCCAGGTTGGAGAGGGTGCAGGGTGGGCTGAGGGACACCCCCCACACACAAACCCTGCGCACGAATTTTGTGCACCAGGCCTCTAGTAAAGTATAAAAATGTCAAATGGCTCTTTTGTACACCTGAAACTAATATAATTAATATTGTACGTCAATTATACCTTAAAATGTTACAATTCCAATTGAGAGATTCTCCCATATGCTCACAGCGAGCAGGAAAAGGGAGGCTCCAGCTGCACATTTTATAGGTCTCTTTGGATAACAGCCAAGGCTCATTTATATCCACAGAACCAGAGGCCCAACTGTCTGGACAGCTAGTGTGTCCCTTTACTTTGAGATATACTGAAGATGCACTGTCTGAGATTAGCAATGAATTTGTTTTCAGTGTAACAGCTGATTTTGCAATGCTGTCCTGAGAACTATTAAAAAGCATCCTTACATACTATAAGCTTCCAGGACTGAAAGAACTGTCCATATATAAAAATAAACACCACATATTTTTTTTTTTTTGCCAATGAATAAATGCTGATGACACTTCATGTATGTTAAATCAGACACCATTATGAATCAAAGTATTATTAGTCTGAGTAAATTGTAGTGTCATTTGATAGGGCTTTCTTGCAGTTAGCAAAGTGAAGCTAGTCTTAATGCAATTTACCTAGCAACAGGTGGTTAGTGAATAAAGCTTATTTTCCATCAAAAACAATGGTAGGAATACTATTTTTTCTCCTTTTAATAAAGATTTTATTAGCACATGACATCTGAACCTGTTACTAAGAAGCGAACTCTAAGCCAACTTCCATAAAGTGTTGGGTGCTGGTGCTTTACAAAGCCAAGCACTGGAAGAGAAGCAACAAAGTTACATGACAACTGTTTAAAAAGTATAATATAGTACAAGTTTAAGGACACTCAGGAAGATTTGAAATGACAAATATCTCTGCAATTATAGATGAAATAAGCTACAAATAGGAGGCTTTTCTATCTTTGCTTAGGACAAGATAATGATAAACACTGGGAAAGACTGAGATACACTGCTTTAGCAAGTCCTCTAAGAGTGCCCTATTTTTAGCTCCATGGCCACAAAGCTGATTGAGGTCAGGCCTCCCGCAGGCCCAAGTCCAGAAGTGTAAAAAGGGAAGGGCCTATCTAAATCAGGTAAATTGGAGGGAAAGACTATTCCTAACTCAAGTCTCTACCCCACTCCCCGCAACGACTGCCATTTAGATTACTTACTGTGACTCCTTAGAAACAATAAATTACTTTGATACTTAAAATGTTGGCAACAAAATTAAATCCTTTGTACATATTTTTAAAGGGCAGCCTGAGGTTGGTGTTACTTCCCTTGCTCCCAACCCCCACACAAGCTTTGCCTTTGGCCACAAGGCTCTATGCTTAGCCCATGTCCAAGAACTGAGCTTTCCCAAAATTCATGGTGTTAAGCTTCCGAAACTCTGTATACTAAAAATCACGAGCCGCATAAAGAAAGAGGATATTCCCTTAGGCCTAACTTAACACATTTTATTGTATCTCATTGTAATGAAATTTATCTGATGTTAGCAATGAGTTCTTACTTAATACAACTAGCTCTTGCCCCCTTCTATTGTACTTAAAAACAGAGATCCCACTACAAAAGAGAGGCTTCTGTATACTCGAGTTCACTAATTATCTATGGCATGGAATACTGAAATAAGGTACACCTTTCTGCTTCAATATAAACCAAAGATCTGGAAATCCAATTCCAAATAAATACCACACTACTCTTACTTTTATTGATTTCTACCTCTTCCGTACTGAACTCTTGCTAGAGCTAACCGAATATGTAATATACTTTCACCACTCCCCTCTGCTTCTGCAGTGCTGAGGAGTTCAGGGAGGCTGAGACGGAAGCAGCAGAGCAGCCGGAGATGTGGAAAATTCATAAATGGGACATACTGTTTACCTACTACTGATAGTAAAGCCTAGGGTGGGTAGGTGTGAATATATCCCACAGCAACACTGGAACATCTTAAATTTCTAAAAATGAGAGAAAAATCAAGAACTGAAAAAGAGCTTGATCGGGAAGCTTTACGAAGAATGTTTTAGCCGAAGCCGGTTTGGCTCAGTGGTAGAGCGTCGGTCTGCGGACTGGAAGGTCCCAGGTTCGATTCCGGTCAAGGGCATGTACATTGCTTGCGGGCACATCCCCGGTAGGGGGTGTGCAAGAGGCAGCTGGTCGATGTTTCTCTCATCAACGTTTCTAGCTCTCTCTCTCTCTCCCTCCTCTCTGAGAAATATCAATAAAATATATTTTTAAAAAAAATGCTCAAAAAAAAAAAAAAAAAGAATGTTTGAGTGACAACGACATTTAAAATACAAAGGTGTATACCAGTTAAGTCAATTTCTTGTTTAAAAAAAAGATTTCATGCTACTGATGTGAAGAGAGGGCCTTTGCAAAATAAATGACTGGCCTTTTGATGTTGAAAAAAAAAATTAGAATAGACTGGTTTACAGCTGTTAAGTAAAACATTTTTAATAAACAGAAATTTTGATAGCTATTTAGCATTCAAAAAAAGGTGAGAAAAACAGAAACCTAAAAACTCCATGGATGGGGAGGAGTGAATCTTAAGCAAAGGAAAGCAAAACTGTGAATGGTATGAAATTACTAGTACAAACCAGGTCAGCAAGTGAAACTTTTATCCAACTATTTTAGCAGATATTTTCAACATAGGATGGATCTTGGTGACTGCATATCTACCAACCACACGGTGTTATATAACGCGGAAAAGTCTCTCTTACCCCAAAAACAAACAAACAAACAAACAAAAACCAAACAAACAAACAGAAACAACTTCCTAAGCCACTGTGTTAGAATGTGATTTTGACCATTAACGGGAAAATTCGGCCAAGAAGGGCCTAAAGCACCCCCGGTTACATCCTTCCTACAATCAACACTAAACAGACTTTTATTTTTAAGTAAATTTTTTTCAGTATACCTACACCGCCTTGCAAAGCCAAATAAAGAATGGAAACTAAGACAAATATTTTAAAACATTCTATATTTTTTAGAGGTCAGCTTGCCCTAACTGCACATTTCCCCCCTTCCCTAGATTCACGGGGACCACGGCGGCCTTGACCACCCCCCACATTCCAAAGTCCGGCAGCAGAAAAAACAATGTCCTACGAGTCAGGTCTGGTGCACCGCCTCCTCCAGCAAACATCGGGTTTTACGCTCTGCTTGTAAAACGAAAAGGAGGTGAATGCGGAACAGAATGGGGGGGGGAATCATTTCGCCAAGTCCCCAGCAATCAATCAACTAACTGTGCATGCTCCCGACGGCGGGCCTCGCAGGGGGCCCACAACGCATTACCTCTCCGCCAGGAGGGGCGACACCCCGATCATCCACGGGTTTTTAAGTTTCGATTTGCAGCTTCCAGACCCAGGACGGCGTCCCGTTCCGGCAGCGTTACAATGGGCGGCTGTGACGACAGCGGGGCCCGCGCAGCCCCGAACGCAGGCCGCCGGGGTAGCTGCGGGCCACCCCACCCCCCGGCCCCGGCCCCGGCCCCACCGACCCCGATCCCCGACCCTGGACCCCCTTACCTGCTCCGCCACAGCCCGGAACAGGCAGGACCCATCCTTGGCGATCAGTTTCCGATACAAGCCCAGTTTCCGCAGATAGGCGTCCATGGGCGTCACGTCCTCGCGGGGCCCCGCGCCGCGCTGGTCCCCGCCGTCGGGCGCACCGACGGCCGCCTCCATGTTGCCGGTCCCGCTGCAGGCCAGGCGCGGCGCGGGCTTAGCCCCACATGGCCGCGCCGCCGGCTCCTCTGCGCCACGGGCCTAGGACGGGCGGCGGCGGCGGCGGCGGCGGCTGTGTCTAGGGCTCCGCAGGCGGCGGCGGCGGCCCCAGGCAGCGGTCCGCGCCCTCCGAGTGCATAAGGGAGCCCCTGCCTAATGCATGGCAGTGCGCACGCGGCCGCCTTCCGAGAGAAATGTTTAGAGAAAACCCGAGAGTGAGAAGTCACTTCCCGGCGGCCTCGCTGCCGTGCTCCAGACCCCGGCCCGGGGTCGCCTTCCCCACAAGTTTCCTCCTCGTCCCGACTCGGGGGTGCGGTGGGGGGGTGAAGCGAGGAAACCCCGCCCCTCGCGCGCGCGAGGCCGGCTCCGGTGGAACAAGGCCTGCGTACGCCGCACTCCCGACACCGGGAGCCAAGAAAGCCGAGAGAGAGAGAATCGCGGCCTTTCAGTCTCCACGCCTCGCAGGAGGGCACCGGTGGGGCGGGGAGCGGGTGGGGGAGCCAGCAGGCAGTGAGGGCAGCTCCCTCGCAGCCCAGAAATTTGTTTTCGCTTTCGGCCCGACAGCCGGAGAGGATGCCGGGAGGTGTGGTTTTGGCAGCGGCAGGAAGTTTGGCTTGCGACGGGCGGGGACGCGCTGCCTGGGAGGCCAAGTGGACTACAAATCCCGACAGCCCTTGCGCCGCCGGAGCCGGCTTCGCGTTTCCCGGGGGCCCGCGCCGGAGCGAGAGCAGGCCGAGGGCTCTCCCGGGAGCTGACGCGCGGTGACTTGCGCGCGCCGCCCGCCGGGCTGCCCGCTGCGCCTCGCGGCCGCGGGAAGTGCGCGCGCCCCGAGTGCGTGGAGTTGCCAGGGACACGGCGGCGGCGGCGGGGTCGGCCCTTTGTGTATTCCCACACAGAGGGCGCACCTGTCTGCACCCCTCCCCCCGGCGGCCTCTCCTCCCGTTGTTTCCATGGCGGTGGCTTGAACGGCTGAAGTGGCAAACAGAGCTGATGGGCGAAGCCCGCTGGGGCCGGCACGGTGTTGGACGACACAGACACAGTCCGTAAATCAGCCGCCTGCCGCGGATTCCTATTGGAAATGCCGAGTGCAGCTCACGCACTGTGGCAAGATGCCTTTGCCACCGACGTTTTTTGTTCCCCCTTCTCTGTAGCTGCGCACCCAGCCCACAGAAATGGCAATGGTCAGAAAAATGCTAGTTGTTTTTTCCTTTAAAATGTCACCATGTAATTGCTTGATAACAAGCTGGTTTGGCCGAGGTTTCCACTAGTGCCTGGAGGCTTCCTGCTCCAGGTCCCACCCTTGGAAGTTATGTGACGCGTTATGTTGAGAACCCGGCATGTTTTTGTGAATCCGTAATTGTATTTTGCTAAAATTCAACAGCGGCTGATGTCCTAATTACTTAAACACATGGTTAATCGTAAAATGCACTCCAGTCTGAGGCCAAGGTGGAGCTGGGGGAGAAAGAAACGCGGGTGTTACTGTGAGGTTAGACATGTAGTCAAAGGCAATCTGGAATGGAGATAAGGCAGGCCCGAGGGTGAGAGTACAGTGCACATTACCGAAAGCTCTAGAAACTAGTTTTCAGTGCGTTTGGTGCAAGCAATGGGTGACTAGCTTGTGTACCACCCTGGAGCTTCTCAATATGATTTATTTTTTTTTAATTGATTTCAGAGAGGAAGGGAGAGAGACAGATGAGACAGAATCATTGATCAGCTGCCTCCCGCAGGCCCCACATTGGGACTGAGCCTGCAACCCGGGCATGTGCCCTTGACTGGAATGAAACCCAGGAGTCTTCAGTCTGTAGGCCCACGCTCTGTCCACAGGGCCAAACCACCCTGGGCTCAATGTGATTTCTTACTGCTTAAAAACTCTTTCCAATTGTGCTGTTTTTAGAGAATATATGTTATTGTGACCTAAATAAGTTTTCTTGTCGCAATATTAAATTTTGTACATGGTGTAAAGAAATAAACATTATGGAATCTATTAGAAAAATCTAGTTTCAAGTCAAACCTGTTCCTTTTCTTCAAAAATATTTACATTGCATACACTTCTCATTCCACTCAAAAAGAATTACAGCCCTAACCAGTTTGCCTGTGGACTGAAGGGTCACAGGTTCAATTCCAGTCAAGGACATGTACCTTGGTTGCCTGCACATCCCCAGGAGGTGTGCAAGAGGCAGCTGGTTGATGTTTCTCTCTCATTGATGTTTCTAGCTCTCTATCCCTCTCCCTTCCTCTCTGTGAAAAATCAATAAAATATTTTTAAATAATTATAGAGGTTTGCCATTACTTACAACATAGCTTGCCTTTTTTTCAAAATAGGTTTGATTTTTTATTTGTTTTTATTGATTTCAAAGGGAGAGGAAGAGTGATAAAAACATCAATGATGAGAAGCATTGACCGGCTGCCTCCTGCACGCCCCTTACTGGGATCAAGCCAACAACCTGGGCATGTGCCCTGGACTGGAATGGAACCTGGGACCCTTCAGTCTACATGCCTATGCTCTAGCCACTGAGCCACTGTGCCAAACAAGCTAGGGCTAGCTAGATTCTCTTTTAAACCCACAGAAGAATTCAAAGTAACATCTGAACCATAGAGCTTAAATATTGAATTCCTCAAGTGAGTAGATCCTATAGTGTTCATTTTATAAGCAACAGACTTTCTGATATGACAAGAAAACCATGTCTTTCTTAACTATTTTAATACTATAGGCCCCTTGCAGGAATTCCTGCAATAGGGCTTCCCGAGGTGGTCTCCACAGCCCCTCCTGTTTCCCTCCCTTCTTCCCCACCCTTCCTGCTTCCCTCCCTTCTCCCCTGCCCCTCCTGCTTCCCACCCTTCTCCCCAGCCCCTCCTGTTTCCCTCCCTTCTCCTCTGCCCTTCGTGCTTCCCTTTCTTCTCCCCTGCCCTTCCTGCTTTCCTCCCTTCTCCCCCACCCCTCCTGCTTCCCACCCTTCTCCCCTGCCCCTCCTGCTTCCCTCCCTTCTCCGCCATCCTTCTTGCTTGCTTGCTTCTGTAGAGTTTGGCTTCCTTCTATGCTATCTTCAGTCTTCTCTCTGCACCTGGATATGCAAATTAACCGCCATCTTGGTTGGATTAATGTGCATGCTCACTCCTGATTGGCTGGTGGATGTGGCTGGTGGACATGGCTTGTGGGTGTAGCAGAGGTATGGTCAATTTGCATGCTTCTCTTTAATTAGATAGGATACTAAGGGCCTGGTGCAAGAAATTCATGCACAAATGCAGTCCCTAGGCCGTAACTGCGATGGAAGCGCAAGAGTCTGGTGTGGAAGGGCAGGTCCCAGCTGACCTCTGGGCCCTGGGCAGCACCTGGGCCCCTGGGCCCCAGTGCCCCCCTCTTCCTGAGTCACAGAGCCTGACTCCCGGTACGGAGATGCTGTGAGCGAGGCCAGATGCCACGGGCTGGGGCACAGCATGGCCCTCTGGACCACCTAGCAGCGCCACAAGGAAGCTGGCAGGCAGCACGCTCTCTCCAGTCGGCCTTGCAGACTGGCTCCTGGGTGAACCCATGGGGAGCCCAACCAGCCCCTGTGGTCCCAGAGGCTGTGGCCTGGCTCACTGGAAAGAGGCCAACGCCTGGCACCTGAGCGTGGGGGCTTCCTTGTCGGGCAAGCCCTGGTGCCACAGGGGAGGATAGCAGAGGGAGTGAGAGAACCTCAGCAGACACCCTGCATTCTCACCACAACTCCATCCCTATCACCCCTGTCCCCAGCCCCTAGGTACCCAGCAAGAGGTCACAGCATATAGCTGATGCCCGTCATGTTCCGCGACGCCACCTGGTGGTCAGTGCACATCATAGCGAGTGGTCAAACTCCCAGTCAAACAATTGCCCAAGGGGACAATTTGCATATTAGGCTTTTATTATATAGGATTTCTTCAATAAGAATTTTGAAGCTTATCTCATTTAGTGTGTATTTATGGGAAATGTACTGTATATATCATGCTAAGATTGCACTGAATATCTTGAGGATATATTAGAAACATTTCCAAGGACTTTACATTTGAAAGTTTATGAACCCTTGTAATTGAAAAGTTCATGATAACAATTGCTTTAATTTTTTTAAAGTCACTCAAATAAAAGGATTGCTCACATTTATATGCAGAAAAAGTTCATTTGGGGTGGCTAATAATGTTTCAAGCATATTTTATATTTTAAGGCTTATATATATTTTAATCTTATTTAAATGTTTCCGTATTTTTAATAAAGTAATATCACCTTCTTCTAAAGCGCACAAATTCATTTAAAGTATTTTGACAAGAACAAATATATGCTTAAATCTAGAATGTCTTTATTTCCCATTGCAATAATTTAATTCACTGGCAATAGTATAATAGAAACAAGAATGGACATAATTATTTCAATAAGTATTCTAGTATAGAACCTGAGACACTAGAGTCTACTTTCAATATTTTTTAATTAATTGCTATAAATACTGAAAAAACAGAGGCCTTAATCAGAATTCATCAAAATTCTGTTATCTTGTAAAAATGTGGTTTTTAGAACTATGAGAAGAATAAAACATCCACTTTTTCCTACACTTGATGTCTTGGCAAAATTACTTATTGTCCCCACTCCTGCTGAATGAGTGCATAGCAGCCTCATTCTAAACTGGCTGCTTCTGCTTCCAAAATTAGAAGTAAAACACCTGTTGTGTCTGACACTGGGCCTGTTTAAGGAAATCCTTTAGGTATTTTGAGACCTAATCCAAGACAGCCCCTTTGAATGCCAAATCCCCAAACATAGCTTGCTGTTCAGACAACTTTAAAGGATCCTATGCCTTTAAACTGGACCTCTTACTTACTTTCAAAGGATCTTTAATTGTTAGCATTAGCTTCTGAAAATTTTTGAGAAAACACATCTGAAATTAAAATGTTCAGGTCTTCAGCCATTCCACCCTGGATACACCAGAGCTTGTCTGATCTTGGAAGCCAAGCAGGGT